GAGCCCATGTATCCGGTTCGGGCTGGGCCCGGCCGGGCCCCAGGGGCGAAAGCCCGGCCACCAGGCGCTCGCTCACGGGCCCCAACCCCAGGCCTGGCTCCAGGGTGGGACCCCGGTAACCCTCCGGGCCGGGTACTCTGACTCTTCGTTTTAACCGCCATGAAAGATCCTTCGAACCGTTCTTTGTCTCACCCTTCACCTAAGACCAATTTGTCATGGGAGACCCTACCAGGGGCACTAAGTGCCCCAGACAACATAGCTCCTAGGATCATTAGGGCACTCAAACTCCTCCACCACGATAAGGTGACGGTTCAAGGAGGAGTTTGTTCCCTTGCTTAAAAATTGGTATTACTTTAGCTACTTTCATTTTCTGAGGAAATAAACCAGTTTGGAAGGATAAATTAAATATTTAAGTTAATGGTTTTAGAATACCATCAATAATTATTTTAACCAACACCATATCAATACCGTCACAATCAGTGGAGACGTTGTTGTTACATTTATCAACAACTGATTTAACTTCCAACTCATCCACTGCTGAGAGGAAGATTGAGTCGGGGTACAGTTTGTTTTTATCAATGGTTCACTTACTGTCTGTCTTTTTTGGCTTGGTATATTTGCTGCTAGCTCTGGGCCTACATTCAAAAATATTCATTCATTCTATTAACTACTTTTATTTTATCATAAATATCACTTTGATTATCAGTAAAGTATTCAGGGTATAGTATTTTCTTTGTCCCACCATTCCTTAATTTGTTTAGTACATCCCAGACACTACCAACATTACACACTCCATACTGTACATTAATGCCACTGTTTTGCACATACCAACCTCTGTACATTTTATATCTCTTATCTTATTGTTTACTTTATTCATTTGTAAAACACGTATATACACACTATACACACACAAACACACTCTCACACACACACGTAGAACAATATATTAAAAAAAATAAAAATAAAAAAATGATATACTTGCATAAACATTTAGTAATGTATATACATTACAACTTATACATATTACTTAGATTAGCCATTTTTATATTTTGCTTGTGTTTACATTACTGTATTTTTGCACAACTCTGTTGCTGTGAAGCTCGCACACAAGAATTTCACTCGCATGTACTGTACTAGTGTACCTGCACATGTGACGTGACAATAAAAGTGATTTGATTTGATTTGACACCTTGTAAGTTATTCTAGGATTTTTCTGTAATATATCTTTTTACCAGTTCTTATTATTTCAGTTAATTTATTTTTGTAAACTTTATATCTGATTTCAGCTTCCTTAGTTCATAGTTTAATAAAATTCCTATAAAGACTATTTTTCTTTTTACAAGCATTTTGTAATCCTTTAGTTAGCCATGGGCGATTTTTATACTTATGACTTCTATTAATGACCTTGACTGGACAGTTCTTATTGTAAAGTGTCTTAAATATGTCAATAAATTTACTATATGCCATGTCAATGTCATTTTCCCTATAGACTACATCCCAGTCTTGGGACATCAATTCCTCTTTAAATGCAGCAATTAAATCGTCTGTTCGTAATCTCTTATAGATCTCTTTCCCTGATTTCCTTTGACACCTACTTTCTTTAATTCCATTGCTGATGTCAAAATATACAAATATAGGTAAGTGGTCACTAATATCATTTATTAGTATACCACCTGCCATATTTTTTTCAACACGATTTGTAAAAATATTGTCAATCAAGGTTGCACATTGTGTTGTAATTCTCGTTGGTCTTGTGATCTTCGGGAACAGGGATAAGCTATACATCATGTCTAAGAAATCTTCAGTATGTTTATGTAGTTTTGACTTCATGAGATCAATGATAAAATCCCCACAGATGAAAATATCCTTTTGGCCAATTTTTGTGTACATTTTCTCTATACAGGTTTTAAACTGATCCATATCCGATCCTGGGGCTCTGTATATACAGCTGACTAGTATATTCACTCGATTTTCCATTACTATCTCAATTGTTAAACTTTCCATTACTTCGTCTAGTGCCATTGTCATTTTTGGTAACATTTTACTTCTTAAATTTCTGTCAACATACAGAGCTACCCCTCCTCCTTTTTTACACTTTCTATTCTGAATGTACATCTCATATCCATCCTAATCAAAATCTGAGTCTTTTTCATCATTGATCCATGTCTCTGATATGGCTATAATCCTAAAAGGAGTTTTAAACTTATTTAGAAAAGCCTTTATGCTCAAGTTTGCATAGTGACTTCTACTATTAATGTGGATTATTGATAAAGATTGATCTGTCTTCATTTGTTCATTTAGCTGTAGTTCCCCATAATAAAAACACTCACTGCTTACATGACTAAAATAATTAATGTCAGGGTCTATGTCATCTAAATTATTTTGTTGTTGATGTTCAGTGATTACGAATGTTTCCAGTTCTGTTTGATTCAGCGTATTCATAATCCAGTCTTCATCTTTAGATGAAAGATATATATCAAATATTCATGAGATGTACAGTCGATATACATCCAAGAATAACAAAAAAAAAAGGGTAGCTGCACATATCTGTTGTTCCTTGTACATTTTGATGAAGCGTTCCGTGACGTTTGTGATTTTGGTCATTTTTCTCAAAATTATTGACTTTTTATTATCATGTTCATGGTATTTTTTTTTCCCAAGTGAGGTTTTTCTAGCCTGTCCTGTCCAAAAGCCTTACGTTGTTTGCAGCACCACAACTGGATTTTTTTAACCTGTGGCGGCTTACCATGATCAAGCCCTTGATGTCTTGTGGGCATATGGAGTCTTTGCTCCACATATTTGTTTTATCCAGGCTCAACTACTGCAATGTTTTTTATTCTGGGTCAGGCAGCACTGAGACGTCTACAGCTGGTTCAGAACTCCATGGCCAGATTTCTGACAGGGACAAGGAGGTCTGCACATATCACTCTTGTGCTGGCCTCATTACATTGGCTGCCTGTAGGTTTTTGGGCTAAGTTTAAAGTTATGTGCTATGTCTTCCAGTCTCTTTATGGTGGTGCTCCACCATACTTGGCAGCATTAATAGAAAGGCATACCCCATCACAGACTCTATGCTCAGCTGACCTGGAGCTACTGACTGTCCCACAAACTAGGTGCAGGTCTAGAGGTGATCGGGCTTTCTCGGTCTTGACTCCTTCTCTCTGGAATGAGCTTCCACTTGATATTAAACTGTCACCATCACTGCAGGTTTTTAAGAGTCATTTGAAGACTCATTTTTATCGTTTGGCTTTTATGTGACCTGGTTTTATGCTTTTATGCTCCTTGTTAACATTTTGTATGGTGCTTTTATGCCTGCATGTTGTTTTTATCTCCTTGTTATTGCCATCTGTGTTTTTACTGTATTTTATGTTCAGCGCCTTGGGCTCCTGCAAAGGCAGTGGAAGGAGTTATACAAATTAAGATTGATTGATTGATTGATTGATTGATTGATTGATTGATTGATCGATTGATTAAACTACAATTCTGACTTTAATTTAGTCATTCTGACTTTTTTCTCTGAAGTTAAAAATCAGAATTCTGAGATTAAAGTCAAAAATCTTTTTTTTTTCTTTTCAGTGGCCCTAATCTTCTTCTGTACAAATATGATAAATACTACTGAGATTAAATCATTTATGATGAAAGGAGGTTTGAAAAAATCAACGTAATGTCTAAATGACTTTCATCACAGTTGGTTTGAAGTCATTAACACTTTGAGACGTTCTCACACGGTTCCCGCATTCTTTAAGTCTGTTTATGCCTTAAACCCATCTCTCACCTCCACTGCTGAATATGCATCTGTGTGTCTAGGTATATACATGTAGGTCTGATCTGTTGCATAACTCCTCAACAACCACCAACACAAATCCTCTCAGCAGCCTTTAGAGGTCACCTGAGGGGAAACAAGACAGCTAATCTGTAAAGCTCAACCAGGAAACCGCCTTCTGAAGCAATCTTTACTTCAACTTTCAATTCGGTTCAGCTCCATTAGACCTAACATCTGACAAACTTAAAAACAAATGTGTGATAAAAACATCTGCTCCTCGCTTTGACACACTGATAAACTTGTTTGTGTCTTCATCCCCAGCAGGACATGAGTCCACATGAAGCTCCGTCCAAGGATGAAAGTCAGTTAAACCGTCTCGGGTAGATTCCTCTTGGGTCACCTGTCGACTTGGACAAGGGCACAAACTGAGTTTCCCTATTTGGACAAAGCCTATTGGATTTTCTGTCCTGTGCTACAAACACACAGCTTCACCGTCAGCTCACTGACGCTGCACTTTGCCAAAGAGCATCAGAAGATTAGTGAGATCCTTGCTTGGTGTGAGATTTATCTGAATCTGAGAGCTCCATTCTGCATATTTTGGGGCAGATGCTGGGTGGTGGTGAAGCTCCAGTGAGATGAATCTATGCAAATCATTACTGCACAGCAGAGGTTCCTCTAGTCAGGAAGCTAATCTGCACTTATCACTTCCTCACAACTTCCGACAGGGCGCTGTTGAGCCATTATCACCATCACGACATCCCAGCATGCAAGCAGAGCTTAAATATCTGCGGAGAATGATGGAGACAGCTCAGAAAGAAGGGAAGGTCATTCAATCTCTGTAGGACGTTAGCAATCTAAAGAGCTGGTGAAACAATCAGGAAATCCCCCTTCACCACCGCTTCACACTCCTGCTGTGTGCAAAATGATGCAACAGAACCAAATGGCCAAAAGGCAGGTTTCCCCACAGGCTGATGAACTCTTTCCAGTCAGGCCTCCTTTTCTTCCCCTCTTCATTAGCAATAAAACACACTTTGCAGATAAATAGCGGTTAGTTTTTATGTACAAATCTGTTGTTCTTTATACATTTAGATTAAGCGTTCTGTGATGTTTGTGATTTTGGTCATTTTTAATAGATGGCTCAATTATTTCGGCATGACCTTTAACCCTTGCAGAAGTCCTCTCACAGACGCACAAACATGTCAGTCCGCACGTGTGTGTGTGTGTGTGCGCGTCTCACCCAGTGATGACGTGCTCAGAGCCATGACTCCATAGTAAGAAAAAGGGCCAGTTTCAAACTTCATGTTCTCATTTCCAGCTTCCACCTCCACCCTTCCCTGAGAAACACAAACACACAACACAGTTTACACAGAACGCTCAGCTCCTTGATGGTAAGTGTGTGTGTGTGTGTGTGTGTGTGGGGGGGGGGGGGTAGTTACAGTTTTAGAAAGATTTAACATTATATTTAGCATTTTCCATAAATGCATACACAGGGCATTAAAATTTAAACATGGAACAAAACAAGCAGTTCGAAGGAAAAACGTTTATTTGGAGTCTGAAAAGTATTCCACGGATTTGCAAGATTCCTGGGAGTATCGAGACATTTCTTTTAAAGTTATAAAAGTAGAGGAGTGAAAGTACAATTTGCTCCATTGGTCAGACGCCTATAACTCCATCAGTTTCCAAGGCAACTGCCTTACATGAAAGGCTGCATGACGTAAATGTTTCTGCAAGTTATGTTAGATCTTTAGTTTGTGTAATAGGGTGAAAGGTTTGCACAAAACAGAATCCTTTCTTCTCCAATCTTTCCAGTTTTCTAAGACTTTTGGTTAAAACTTCTAAACTTTAGGCTTTTTGGGAACCCTCTCATTGTTCCCCGTGTGGGTGGATGTGTATCAGATTTAGTTTGGAGGCTAAATCCCTGAGTCGTGTCCTGTAGCAGGTAACACAAACACTTGACCGTCCTATAAATATTACATCCTGGTGCAGGTGCTCCAGTTCAGGGTTCAGAGTCTCTTGAGCTCAAACGTATACACTTCCATACTGCTAAACCTGGAAAAACTTTATCAATATGAACCTCCTTATTTTAAATCAACTAAACTGCCCTCCGACCATCCTGCCCCGCTCTGCACATACTGTAACCCTCTATGAGCACAAATCATGGGTTCGCGGCTTGGAGCAGCTAAACAGGAAGTGAAGGCAGAGCTATGCTGCTTAGAGTTATGGACAGAATGTTACATTTTTTGTTGTTTGCAAACTTTATTTAAGGAATTGTTCCACATGTTCTGTTTGGAGTCCAGTTCTGCTCTTGTTGGAAAACATTTGAGATTGAGCTGAACACAGCCTGTCCTCTGTTGGCTCGCAAAGCTGTGTGTGTGTGTGTGTGTGTGTGTGTGTGTGTGTGTGTGTGTGTGTGTGTGTGTGTGTGTGTGTAGAGTGGGCCTGAGGTGGCTTAGGTTGGGTTCTGGAAGTTCTGACTTCTTGTTCTGTATTCCCAGATTGTTGGTGGCACTGAGATGATGTTATTTTGTAGTTAAGAATAAACACTAAAAACGGCCTCATTTTCACCATAACAACACAACATTATAGTTAGTAAATAAAACTGTTATAAGGTTATGTGGGTCTGCGATGTCAATGCCAACAATGGGTCAAAAACGTAAGATGATGTTGTAACATTTTCTGTGACCCTCTGATCCTGTGACTATGGGGGGGGGGTGCTTTCAATTTAACATGCTTGAACCACTTTTTCTAAGAACTTCTATACTACCTTTAACATAAAGCCTTACTAGAATGTTATGGGCCATGAAACTGCATATCCAAGCCTCTGATACCATCCAAACCTCTGAAGTCAGAACCTTCACTGATGTCCTTGACCTCAAAGACCTGCACCTTAAGTGTCCCCACAAAGATTAGAGACATCCCCAAGCTGACATAAATGCAAGAGATCAGTGGAACAGGAGTAGTCGTGCTCAGGTTGCACAGTCAGTGTCTGCTGCCACTTTATCTACACCTGAGGTGATAATGACACAAAAAGTGCATCAAGAACACACTTTCAAACGCGCCTCGGCACTCATCACAGAAAACAGAAGCTAAACATTTATCAGTGATGACTAATTAGACTGTAATTGAACTCACACTTTTAGTTTTAGTTTGGATTCTTTTGTGTGAATTTTTTTTATTATCGAGGTGATATAAAAAACCCATATGAACTTTTTAGAAAATCTGCTGCACTTTCACATTTTTCATTTAGCTTGTTGAATTGGTTTAAGCTGGGTTAGGGTTAGAGCCACCAGAGGATCTAATGAATGCTGTAAATTCTTCTGAGGGTTGTTTTCACCTGCAGAATGAGTACGAAGTAGTCGACAGGTTTGCCTTTCTGGTACAGGAAGTGCTGAGGTGATCGCTTGTCATTTTCGTTGAACTTCAGCTCCTGGATGACGTCCGGGTGTCTGAGGATCCTCAACAGGACTTTTTCTGTGATCTGGAACGGGCTGAACAGGCTAACCTCTGAAGGAAATGAAAAAAGAGAAACATTCACAGGAAACCCTGAACATTCACAGACAGAATTTAAAGTAGTTAAAACCCAGAGCTAAAGACAGTTTGCTGTCTGTAATGTCTTCGTCTGGGAAAGGAATGGGCTGGGATCTGGTTTTTAAAGGGGCAATTTGTATGAATTACGGTATACTACAATCTACAATCACGTTGGAAGGAAGGTTATTCTGAAACAGATTTCATTCTCAGTCAGCTGGGGGAAGGTCAGTTTTGTTCCTTTAAAAAAAAAAAGAAGAGTTGTAGTAAGTGTTTCCTACTGCACCCGAGTGCCAACACCAGCTATAGCTATGTATCCACTTATCAACTAACTGTGTAGGACTCATTTTTGATTGTCAACTAGAATCCTTTGGCACTGATGTGTTACTGGCAACAGCCATGGAGGCGATATTATTGCTTAGGAAAATGAACTGCAGTTACCTAATTTGACCACTGTATGTCATTATTACAAATTGCACCTTTAAGGTAAACCACCATGTTAAACAGTAACAGTGTCAAAACCAACATGTTTGCTACAGGTTAAATGTCTATTAACAGGGTGATAGGAACAGCTCAGGTTCTCTGCCCTCAAGGAGCAAAAACCACAAAACACATTAGTGGTTTGAAAAGGTTTTTTTTAGTGGTAACTCAGTCAGTCACAGCTCGTCTACCAGGGGAGAAACTTCTCATCACTCTTTTGGTTTCACACACATGCTAGCATCAGCCTGTCAGGCTGCAAGCGTCAGAAAGCACAATGAACACATTCACTTTAAAGCTATAAATAAAACAATCTGATGTTTATTCGTCGTCTTTGTTTAGGCTTTCTGTCTTTGTGTATGAAGTAAAAAACACAAACTAGGAATGTTCTGATTTTTTTCATTATCATAAAACTCTTTGTTGTATCTCCTGGAGTAAATGAGAAGGGAGGCTGCTGGTGGTCTGTATTAGAGCAGGTCTAATCCCTCTTGGCAGACACTTCCTGTCAACCCCAGACCCAACTACTGTGGGATATTTCAGGAGGCACTCCACCACATGTGAGAAAAAAGAACAGAAAGAGTGACACTTTTCATAAAACAGAGCTCATTAGTGAGCCTATAAATGATGCTGGTTGAATTAGGGCTCTGTGAACACACAGACAGAGGACCACCACCTCCATTACTTCTCCTTCAACAATGAGCGAAATGCAGTGTAAGCTCTCCTCCCAAAGATTTTGATCATCATTTTGTTTGTCACATTGATGTTTAGGTCATTAGACTTCAGCAATCAGTAAGTAAGCTCCTCTACTTCACCACCTGGCACAGGCTGTGTGTTTTTTGGAGCTCAAACCAACAATCAGTAGTGAATACGGAGGTGGGCTCAGGACACACCCTTGTGGAACACCGGTGTTGATGATGGAAGAGGAGACAGGAAGACTTCAATATCTTATAAAACTTCCTGCAGCTCTCTGGTGTTTTAGCTAACAATGTGACTACTGCTCAATTTTCACTGTGATCTAAAATGGTAATGATATATGAAAATATCAAAGTTCCACCCAATGACAAAATATAAGCAAACATCTGAACATCTGGATGTCTGTTGTGTTTTTTCAGAAGATGATGTTTAATTAAGCTCACCTTTTTCATTTGGATTCAATTCAAAATGCAGCCATAGTTTTGAATTGTATAATTTAGACTATGAAGTTCTTAATTTTGAGTGGACAAACATTCAGGGCCTTGTGATTTCCACAAAGGAGAAACAACAGACATTTACTATAAAATGCAGAAAGTTGCCAAATTTAAATGTGTATGTTGTCTAACAAACCTGGGATTATTTTGACCAATTCTGTGTGTTTTTCACATTATAGTGAACAAGAGACTAATTTAGCTGCTGCACTGTACATCATCTCTGCATTTTAAAAACTTTAGCAATGATAATATTTTGTCGTAGACTAAAATGAGCATTTAGCCATTTTGCACAGAATATCTAATAATATGATTAATGCAAAACATGAACAGATCATCAGAATAAGAACAAATCTGTGTTGACTCGCTGTGGGATTAACTGTCATCATCCTGGAGCTCACCTGTGGCCAGGAAGCGATGTGCTGCCAGCATGAGCTGAGGAGTGATCTTCACCTTACTGTCACCTTCTTGTTTGAAGGCTGAGAAGTCTCGTTTGTTCTTGTTGGGATCCACCTTCTTCTTGTTTCTGTTGTCAGCTGCACATCAGCAGCAGGAAGAAGAAAAGATGGAGACTGGATGTAAATCATAAGAGGGGTTAAATGGTAGATTAGGAGATGGAGAGTTATGCTTTAGTATTCTTAATAATGAAAAAGTCAGACAGTAGAAGTCAGGGTACAAATGTAAACAAAACAGACAGAACACATGATTAGATGCGTTTCCCCCCAAAGATTCTCTTTGTAGAGGTTTACATGATTTTCAGCACAAATACAGTATGTTTTTGAACATTTAACATGGTGGAAAAGGTAGTGCTGCATCCAATACCCACAATCTGATGTGCCACCATAAAAAATTTAAAATAAAAACTAACCCTACTTAGTTCGCTGCAACAATTCGGACAAACCAACCGACATGAATAAAAGATATGTTTAAAAAGATTGTCTACGGTCAGTAAAAATGCCAAGATAGCAGTATATTTATCACACTGGATGAGCTTCTGTGGTTACAAACTTTTCAGTGGTAAGAGTGTCTGCATCCCTTAAAACAGCCGAATTCAGAGTAAACGCTTAGAAATATGAGCAACAAGGCTATTTTTACATACGTATATTCTTAATTTGACCATGTTTCTTATTATTGTAAATGGTAAATCATCATTTACTTTTACACACAGTATATTAATATGTTTCATATTAATGTACTTCCTAAACGAGTGATGTTTTAATATTCATCCTGAGAATGGCAGATAAACTAAAGAAAGGACATAAATCCAGAAAGAAAGAAAAGCATTAATGATTTAAAAAAACAAACCTTAAAAGAACTCTAGTGCTCTCCTTTTTTCTTAATGCATTTCTAAAATATCGGAACGGGACTCAGTATCGGCAGCGTCTTCAAATCAAATGACTCGGAATCGGATCAGGAGCAAAAAAACCGAGATCGGAACTTCCCTACTTTCTACCATATAGATTACGGTTCTGAGCCAGGGCTGCAGGACTGGAGCTGCTTCTGAAGAGTAAATAATAAAACATGACCGGGGTTTACACAGACAGAATAGCAACTCTCCGTCAGATCATTACATTACTTAAAGTAGCATTTCCTGTAAATGCTTGAGCTTGCTTGTGTACACATTTCTGTAGAGGATCAAAGTGTAGGGAGACAATCCATCTATATGGATGACAGGGTTTGTTGCCTCGGCATTTCTGAAAAAGAATAAAATTTCATGACTACCCGAGTTCATAAAAGTTAATTTAAAGACCAAGTTCACTTTTTTCTGATACATCCGCAGTGGTCTCTGGTATAAATGAATGCCTTGTGTGTCTATCTCCTTGGGGAAAAACTCTGGCACTCCTGTTTCACTCTATGCTGAAATACAGAGCTCAAGATTCTAGTTTTTGTTTTCCGATCACTTGCTGGAAATGCTCCTCCCTATTTATCATAACTCCTGCAAAAAATATCATCCTAGGATTGCTTAATTCCATCAACAAGGATTTGTTGGTGTTTCCTACGTCTAGGCGTAAGTGTCTTGAGGATAGACCACTTTAGCACTAGGACCGAAACTTGGTGAAACAAACCCCCTCTGGAAATCAGACAATCTACCTCAATTTTGAGTTTTAAAGCTAGACTGAAGCAGCATTTTAGATCTACAGACATGGACAAAACTGTTGGAACCCTTCGGCCAATGAAAGAAAAGCCCACAATGGTCACAGAAATAACTTGAATCTGACTAAATTAATAGTAAATAAACATTCTATGAAATTTAAACACTGAAAGTCAGATATTGCTTTTCAACCATGCTTCAATGATATTATTTAAAAAAATAAACTCATGGAACAGGCCTGGACAACGATGATGGATGCCCCTAACTTTATATGTTGTTGCACAACCTTTTGAGGCAAACAAACGATTCCTGTAAATATCAATCAGACTTCTTCACCTCAGCGGGTATTTTGGCCCACTCCTCATGAGCAAACTGCTCCAGTTGTCTCAGGATAGAAGGGCATCTTTTCCAGACGGCACGTTTCAGCTTCTTCCAAAGATGGTCAATAGGATTGAGGTCAGGGCTCATAGAAGACCACTTTAGAATAATGTTTTCCTCTTAGCCATCTTGGGTGTTTTTAGCTGTGTGTTGTGGGTCCTTGTCCTGTTGCAAGACCCATGACCTGCGACTGAGACCAAGATTTCCGACACCAGCCAGCACATTTCTCTCTAGAATCCCTTGATAGTCTTGAGATTTCATTGTACCCTGCACAGATTCCAGACATCCTATGATGCAGCAAAGCAGCCCCAGATCGTAACAGAACCTCCTCCATGTTTAACAGTAAGGACAGTGTTCTTTTCTTGATATGCTTCATTTTTCCATGTGTGAACATCGAGCTGATGTACCTCGTCTCATCTGTCCATAGAACCTTCTCCCAGAAGCTTTGTGACTTGTCAACATGTAGTTTGGCATATTCCAGTCTGGCTTTTTTATGATTGTTTTCAACAATGGTGTCCATGGGCGACGGTGACACAGGAGTTAAGTGCCCACCCCGTAATCGGAACGTTGCAGGTTCGAGCCCCGCTCAGTCCGTCTCTGTTGTTGTGTCCTTGGGCAAGACACTTAACCACCTTGTCTGCTGGTGATGGTAGGAGGGACCAGTGGCGCCTGTGTACGGCAAACTCGCCTCTGTCAGTGTATCCCAGGGCAGCTGAGGGTAAAATGTAGCTCATCACCACTAGGGTGTGAATGTGTGGGTGAATGGGTGAATGACTGATTGTATTGTAAAGCGCCTTGGAGGGCTCTAGGACTCTAGAAGGCGCTATATCAAATACAGGCCGTTTACCATTTCTTGGTCGTCTCCCATGTAGTCCACTTTGACTCAAACAATGAGGAATGGTGAGATCTGACACGGATGTCCCTTGAGCTTGAAGTTCACCTTAGATCTCTTTAGAGGTTTTTCTGGGCTCTATTGTTACCATTCGGATTATCCATCTCTTTGATTTGTCATCAATTTTCCTCCTGTGGCCAAGTCCAGGGAGGTTAACTACAGTGGTACACATCATGTCACCAAACAACACAGTGACTACCCGCAGCCCTGTATTTATACTATTGTTACATTTTTGTTTATGGTGTTCAGCACTTTGGGCTCCCTTTGACTGGTGGCAGATAAGGTGCTATAAAAATGAACGAAATCACTCGACTTACATTTCTTCTTTGTTTTCACCCCAACGTATGTGAGTGTGTGCACGCATGCTTGTGTGTATGTGACACAGCTGGTGGCCGACTCACTGTAAAGGTCGGACTCATCCAGGATCTCGGACTTGATGATCTCCTCAATGACGTCCTCTAAGGTGACCAGACCCAGCACCTCGTAGAAAGGATCCCCTTCCCCCTCGTTGTTCACCTTCTGAACGATGGCCAGGTGGGATTTACCTGAACAGAACAGAGATCAGATTAAAGTTACTACAGGCCACTTTTGACAAGAAAGTTAAGATTTTAAACCCTGACAGAAAAGTAGGACAGCAGCAGAGAAGAGGGAGGAGACAGAAGCCTGTGTCAATGGAGCTGCTGCTTCTGAAAGCCTTCAAATAGATCCAGACCCTTCTAGATGAAAAAGTTTTTATTTTAGTCTCGACAAGTTCGATCTGAGTGGATTTATCTTGGCTGCTGGCACAAGGATGCACGGATGCCTTAATATAGCCCAGGCCGCACTAAGAGCTTTGGAGAGAAAAGAAGTGGAGGAGCTTCCAGATGGAGGGATAAGAAGGAAGTTCAAAAACAAAACTTTTCTCTTCAAACTGCTTAAAAAATGTCCTTTTGGATGGTTACAAATAAGAAAAACCTGACACTTTTGCAGAGTGGTGGATGCCAACAGGAGGTAAACGAAGAAGCTCAATCAGGCCAGCAGGATGGAGGCCTGTCACAGCTCATGGACATCAAACACCACTGGTGTGTTCTCATGTGCCTTATCCACCTTTTTCTCTTCACCGGTCAACATTCAGAACAGGTTGTTTAAATGGAAAAGCACTGTAGTTTTACAGTGATTAATCAACTATCACCATGAACACTACATGCTAAGATTAGCAACAGGTGCAAGCTAAAGATTATTTATCCACAATCTCCTGACTTATGACCTTCTTCACACTGAATCACTACCCTGCTACGCTCTCCGCAACCTGACAGCAGGAAGTGCTGTAGTTAAGCTACGAGTCTGGTGGGAATACTCCTTCTTGTGTTCTGCTTTTCCCACATCACAGCTGTTCCCACGACAACGAATTAGCATTAAAACCTCAGATTATAAGTTTTATGGATACTCAAAAACCATCGTTGACCTATCATGCTCTGTCACTCCTAACAGGAAGGCCAATAAGTAAAATGTATCTATGGTCATGTCACAAAATAAAGATACAACAAGTAGGAATATTACAGTGAAATAATCACCAAACAGTCTGACATCTCAGTCGCTTTGGTAAGAAGGTTACGCTGAAACAGATTTCCTCCTCAGCTGGCTGGAGGGTTGTCAGTTTTTCTTTTTTTTTTTTTTTTTAAAAACTCAAGATGGACGTAGTCTTTGTTTACAATCTGTGACCCCGCAGGGTTGCAGAGTCTGCGTCATTCAACAGCCTCACAGCTGTGGAACGCTGAGGAGAAATTAAGTTAGTCCATTCTGGCATAAGGCTGTACCATAAAAATGTGGGAAAAGCAATTTGCAGCGAATACTTTCTGGTTGCTCTGTAAATGGCAACAACTCTATGCTCTTAAACATGAATCTCCACCTCAAGCGGCTTACAGCTGCAGGAATGGCAGGCAAAATGCCTTGTGAAGCTAAATGGAGCCGTTTAAACCCAGAGTCCTGTTGCTGCCTGAACTGTTCCGGTCCTCATATCATCCTGAGAGAGGTCTCTGTCATGAACAGAGGCAGGCTTGTCGGCGCTGCAGACTGCAGAGGAGCTGAAGTCAGCGACCGCTCGTGTGATGACTCATGCCTCAAACATCCTCATCATCATCACTCCTTGTCCCTCTGGCAGAGAGGTGAGGAGTCTGTAACCCTGCAGCAGGTCCCAACAGGGATCCACGCAAATAAAAGCTCCAAAAGGCTCATGCATCATGTGGAAAAATACAAGCTAAGAGTGTTTTTCTAGAGTGGAATGTAAGGATGGGCTGCATGAAAGCAGAGAGGTGAGAAATAAAATGTCACTTTCTTCAGGATTAAGCTGGCTGTGTGCAGAAGTGAGGCTTTGATGCTATAAAAAGAGCTCAGCTGTGGGTGAAGCTCAAACACACGGACAGCTGAGGTTCTGCCGGCGCTTTTGCCATGTTTAGACCTCTTTAGAAGTGGCGCTGTAGCTTGGTGGATCCAGCCTCAGGCACAACCCAGCGGTGAAGCAGCTATGGCACTAATGACGTTAGTAAGGTGTAGGTGTCAGCGCTGGAATCTCCTACACTAATCCTCGGCACCAGGACGTGGGGTATTGATCCCTTCTAGTGTCACACAGGAGCTGATTTTAGTCATTAGTTCCTTTTGAGGATCAGGGACACTGCTCCAGTTACTTAAAAGCTTAATTAAGACTTGATAAAGAGCATTTCTGTAGAAAACTTGTTGCAGATATGAGGAGATTTTCCTCCAGAGTGTTTACTGAAGGATCTCACTAAAGGACCTGAGGAACAAGATCGATTTGATGGAGCGACTGTTTTTGAACAAACTGCTCTGTTGCTGTTAGATTACAGCATCACATTAACGTCATGGTTGCACAAGTAATACATGGCCTGTATTAGTGAAGTGCCTTCTTAGTGCTCTACAACCCCCCAAGGCGCCTCACAGCACAATCAGCCATCCACAAATTCACACTCTGGTGGGGATGAGCTACGATGTAGCCACAGCCGCCCTGGGGCGCACTGACCGAGGCGAGGCTGCCGAACACTGGTGCCACCCTCTGACCACCACCAGCAGGCAAAGTGGATTAAGTGTCTTGCCCAAGGACACAACAGCAGAATTCTCTGTTCTGAGCCGGGATCAAACCGACAACCTGCTCTACCTCCCAATAGTTAGTGCTTTTAAACTTTAAGCTAGAGCTTTAACATTGACCTCTGTGACTGTCGGGTTAGAAACTTGACCAGTTTCATATTTGACACCACTTAGCATTTTCTATTCGCCGATCATCAATAAAACACACAAAAAGAAGAAAAAGAAGACATTTGTTTTTTCTGTTGGCATCGTGGCAGAGCCTGAAACTCAAAGTAAGAGAGTAATGTTTTTGGAGGCGAAGTAATGAGCTAAAACCAGAGTAAACATTCACGTGGCCTAAGCTACTTTGAGGGAGCTAAAGGAGGCTACAAAATCACAGACTGATGGTGACCTAGCTTTGTTGCTATTGGACTTGAAAGTAATAATATTTTTCCAACAGTGTAATCTTTTTATTTTATGGTTCATTTTAGTATTAGTTGGCTCATGTTAGTGTTAGCTCATTGTTAGCACTAGCTACAGTAGGCTACAGCAGGGTTGTTTACAACAGTTGTAATACCACTTCCAACCAGTAGGGCAAAGGAGCAGAAACCTGCTCAGTGTTACTTTAATGAGTCAGCAAGTATTAATATCATGTGCAGATTATTTAAAATTGTATAATTTCATAAGGAGACGTGTAGAGCCTAATTCTAATCTGCAGCCTTTTAATGAATAAGTAATCAGTGCTGTAGCTTCTGAGAAAATATATATAAATAAAAACACTCCACTTCTCAAGAACAGATGCTGCTTTTCTTGACAAACCACAACAAGATATACATTTATGGGTTTTAAGATGAGCTTCTACACAGAAAACCATTTGAACCAGGCTGGAACATAAATCTCCAATTTTAGAGATAGGATTGATTGATTGATTAATTGATTATTTAATTAATTAAGAAAAATAATCCATCAGCTATATTTATGAACAACTGCATTTTTGCTAATTTTAAGGGAAACACCTTTAAAGATACAACAAAACACGTGCTGGTGATCATAATCAGCCAATATTCAGAATGATTAGCCAGTCCAAAACACAAGGCTTTTAATTTTGACACCTTTACCCACCTAACAGGTGGGTTGGGTGCTAATTCACACTATAGTAATAGGCTTCTTTCATGTGGACGTTTCTATTTGTAGAAACATAATTTAAAAGTTTATCAGAAATTCAAACATAATAATCTTTTAATTATTGGGAATAAATTGGCCCTGGTAAGTCAAACATCAGCCCTTAAAACCAGAATCAGTGCATCTGTAAAAAATTAAATGAGATCAGCTACTCAGATTAGATCAAAATAAATCTGATCATGTTAGAGGAAGGTCTGGGTTTAGTAACTTAAGATCAATGGCCAGTAAAATAACAGATATTAATACTTGCTGGTTGGTGTGTGAACAGTCAGGACTCCTTCCATGGTGTTTAGGTTAAAACAGTCACATCTCCAAAAATGTTGAAGCTCCCACAGGGAGGATATGGAGATGCTGTGTCCTGAAACTAGGCTGACATGTTCCGATCAGCAATCCCAATGATCAATAAAGACACAAACTCACACTCTCTCTCTCTCTCTCTCTCTCTCTCGTCTCTCTCTCTCGTCTCTCTCTCTCTCTCTCTCTCTCTCTGCTCTCTCCTCTCTCCTCTCTTCTCTCTCTCTCTCTCTCCTCTCTCTCTTCTCTCTCTCCTCTCTCTCTCTCTCTCTCTCTCTCTTCTCTCTCTCTCTCTCTCTCTCTCTCTCTCTCTCTTCTCTCTCCGTCTCTCTCTCTCTCTCTCTCTCCTCTCTCTCTCTCTCTCTCTCTCCTCTCTCTCTCTCTCTTCTCTCTCTCTCTCTCTCTCTCTCTCTCTCTCTCTCTCTCTCTCTCTCTCTCTCTCTCTCTCTCTCTCTCTCTCTCTCTCCTCTGACCCTTCTTGAACTCCTCCAGCATGGCGTCCAGCTTGGTGTCGTGGAACACGAAGTGGACTGGGTGGTTGTAGAACTTGGTGATGGGGTCTTCAGGTTGGTGCAGTCGTCCGGATCCACAAACGCCAGGTCCTTCACGTACAGGATGTCCACGATGTTGGACCTCTCATCGTCGTACACCGGGATGCGCGTGTACCCGCTCTCCATTATCTCCGACATGGTGTTGAAGTCCAGAACCGCATCCGCGTGGATCATGAAGCAATTGGCCAGTGGAGTCATCACGTCCTCCACCGTCTTGGTCCTGAGCTCCAGGGCCCCCTGGATCATGTTCAGCTCCTCCTTGTCCAGGTCGTTGTAGGGCTCCGTCACCTTCAGCATCCCCCACCAGCTTCTCCCGATTGTACCACGGTTCCGATCTCCTGTCCCAGCAGGACATCCAGCAGCTTGCTGATGGGGAAGGACAGCGGGAAGGTGAGGAGCATGAAGAACTTGGTCACCAGGATGGTGTTGGCTCCCACGGCCAGTCCGTGGCGGGAGCACAGCGCCTGAGGGACGATCTCCCCGAAGATGACGATGCCGATGGTGGAGGCCACCACCGCCCCCAGACCAGACCCGATCAGGTCATCCAGGAGGATGGTGAGGGTAGTGGGTTCACCAGCACGTTCCCCAGCAGCAGGGAGCACAGCAGGTAGTTCCCCTTGCTGCGGATGGGCTCGATCTTCCTGGCGTACTTCTTCTCCTTATCGGTACCGCAGCTCTGGACGATCCGGAGCTCCATGGGGTCCAGCGCCATGAGGCCCAGGTTCAGGCCGCCTGAACATCCCTGAAAGCACCAGCAAGCAGGAGATGAGGATGGCCTGCAGCCACATGGGCAGCAGGGACTTCTTCTCCTCCATCACCATGCACCCTCCCGTCGCTGTCCCCCAGCAGCACCCACCGGGCCCCGTCCTCACTCGGCGTGCACAGGGCATACTCCTTCCACGCCTCGCTCTTGCGCAGCGGCTTCACGTGCACGCTGAGCAGCCCGGACGTGCCGCGGCTGCTGACGTTCAAGAAGTGACCGATGCTGATATCCTTGGTGAACTCCACACAGGTCCTGTCCGGTGAGTCCACCACTGCGATGTCGCGTCCCGCCCCTGGCCGCCGCCACCGCCTCCCGGGGTTCACCCTCCTCGTCCTCGTCCCCCCCGCCGTCCGCCAGCTCCGTGAAGCGGATCTGAGTCCAGGCACCCGAGTGGAGCTGCACCCCGTAGAACCGGAGCTGAACGGTGCTCTCCTCGGTCACCTGGATGACACCGTCGTCATTGGTGCTGGACGGGCTTGTCGCTTCTCTCGAGCCGCATGCCGAGGACCTGGCTGCCGGTGCGGACCCCGGAGCTCCCCGGTGCCCGCCGTGGCGGTCTCCGTCCGGCCGCTGACCGCGCTCCACAGGCAGATAACGACTGGTGAGAATGTAACCCTGCTGCCCACTTCCATTCTGTCGCCATGTTTGTTTCTCTGCTCTGCAACTTGGGAGCTGACGTCATTTACTCATGTCCGCCCCCTCCCCGCGCAGTCCGTCACACACCTCCGGTCACACCGACCGGACACCGACAGGTAGAAGGCCCATCTTCTCCTCGTCTTTCTCCACTGGGTCGGGGAACACTGCGGCACCCAGCGGGTCTTCTCACCCTCAGACATTGGGAGCTAGCTGCTGTTGCGTAAAGCACATCTATAACCCCCCCCCCCCCCCCCCCCCCCCCCCCCCCGCTGCATCAGCCCGCTCCCGCTGGCACCGTGCCAGGGATGCTGATGCAGGAGTTCAGTTCGTCTCTGCAACAATTACCCTGTTTGTCCTACACCCATCAGGTCTATGTGGAAGAATGCGTGGTTCTCTAACTAATGAATCCATTAATATTAATATTTTATGATTTAGCGAAACTTTCCGTCATCAGATTAAATATCACTTATCCTGCCAATGCATCAACTCAAATGTTTATTTTGCCTTTGTTTTTAGGTTCTAATATCAGCTGGACTGCTATGTAACCTCTTGTCTGACACTGCCACCTAGTGGACACTGAGGCTGTTTGTCAATCGGTCGTGAAGTCCAGAATAAACAGACAAAAGTTAAATGTCCATCTAATTTAGATAAATCAAATGAACGCGAAATAAACAAACGAACTAAATCGGATTCTAATACCAAACATTAAACGTCATAAAGTCTAAACGTGTAGTCTGTGGCTAGTTTGTGTTTTACATATGACAAAATGAAGCATTAGCAAATAATAGTTTTATTTTCTTTGCCTGAGGATTCATGTGCACAAAAAAATGTTGGTTTAATCATAACTCACACATGAATTGATTTATTACATCTCTGTCAGCAAATTTTATCTGACTACTGATTATTTGCTGTACCTTTGCTTCTCTCAAGTCTTTTATTGCGTATCATATCGATGATGCTGATAACAGAGAAGTTTCTTGGTCGACTTCATCAGCGTTCAAGGTGAGTGGAGAGAAAAAAGTTCACAAGCTGAAAAGCATTGATCAGTAAAGTTACTGATGGAGTGTTTCATTTTTATTTTCAAAGCAAGAACTGTCATGTCTTTGTTTTCATGTCTAGGCTGTCTTTAATAAATAATCTGCAAAATGATGAGATCACACTAAAGTATTTCCATGATTAAAGAGTCAAATCAGCACTACGTTTCTTAAAGTCCTTTATTGCATTCACAGGATTTTTAAACACAAATTAACAAGTTAAATAGAGAAAAATGATAAAGAACAACACATAGTCAACAACAACCAGGTAACACAGACTTGGATAACATTAATAGAGGTGTGTGTGTGTGTGTTTTTAACTTTTGAGATGATTTTGCTAAAATGTTTAGGGAAAAGCAGCTTTCAGTCCTCCTCATCCCTCTCTGCTATGCTGCAGCTCTTCTTCCAAAGCCTCTCCTTTGCAAAGGAGTCTCATTGTAGACATGCAAATGTAGGAAAAAAGCTGTTTCTTTTGCTTAACACACACACACACACACACACACACACACACACACACACACACACACACACACACACACACACACACACACACACACACACACACACACACACACACACACACACACACACACACACACACGCCTAACAGAAACTGTTGAGTGACTGATGAACAAAGCAAGCAAATAAATGAATATTAAGAAAATGGTGTAATACTGTTGGTAACTTCTGGTGGACTCACTCTGAGGTCAGAACTCACTTTTCAAACTCTAAAATACAAGTTTGAAGAATTTAAAATCTCAAAGAAAAAACAAACATATAAAAATAAAAAATCTAATTACAACTAATTATACTTAAATGAAAACACAGTGATGCAGGCGTTGTACCCATCTGTTGTGGTGAAGAGAGAGCTGAGCCGGAAGGCGAAGTTCTCGATTTACCGGTCGATCTACGTTCCTACCCTCACCTATGGTCATGAGCTTTTGGTAGTGACCGAAAGAATGAGATCACGGATACAAGCGGCCAAAATGGGTTTTCTCCTCAGAGTGTCTGAGCTCTCTCTTAGAGATAGGGTGAGAAGCTCGGTCATCCAGGAGGGACTCAGAATAGACCTGCTGCTCCTTCACATTGCGAGAAGCCAGTTCAGGTGGCTCGGGCATCTAGTTAGGACGCCTCCTGGACGCCTCCCTGGTGAGGTTTTCCAAGTACGTCCAACTGGGCGGAGACCTAAAGGGAGGCCCAGGACACGCTGGAGAGACTATGTCTCACGGCTGGCCCGACCCCGAACAAGCATAAGAGAATGGATGGATGGATGGATGGATGACTATAATTACAAATAACTGACTCACCTTAAACAAAGCTTATTTAATCAGTCAGAAGGAACTTCAGAACCAGTTCTGTCTCACTTCACAGCCCAGATTTATTAGGACACAAAACCACCTGGTACCTGTTGGCCTCTGTGTAACATTTTCTTTCCTCAATGACAGTCAGTCTTTGAAGTGTTTTTCAGTTAGAGCTGTCATCGTGAACAGACCAGTTTTAAAGCTGCAATGGCAAATTTGGAAAACAAGTGAGCTTAAAGCCTTTTTTTCATGCCTCTTAACATGTAACATGGAAAAGCAGCAGGTGCAGGCCAACATTTCTACAACTCCCTTTTTTGCATTGGTCTTAATAAATACATTTCTAAGTTACTAAATTTTGGATTTTCATTAGTTGTCAGTTATTATCATTAACATTAAAGAAATAAACATTTACAATGCATCAGTCTGTGTGTAATGAATGAATATAATACACAAGTTTTATTTTTGGAATTGAATTACTGAAATAAATCAACTTTGTTATGATATTCTAATTTTATGACCAAGTGCTGGTTATAAATTATGGAGATAAATAAAAATAATAAAGTGGTTCACTTGCATTTGGCTAAAAACATCCACCTATAGCATGTTTTGAACCGAAAACAACGACTGGACCGTCCGGTTGTCGGTCTCGCCAAACCGCTGCACTACCCTGGGTTCTCCACTCATTACGCACTTGTGTATTTAGCAGCAGAACACCACTGGTGTGAGAGGTTCTCTGCTCAATAATATGATAGGAGGAGAAACAGCCGGCTGCTACCACTTCTACTTTAGGACAAACTACCAAAAAGAAAAACACTATTTAAGTCACGGACAACAAGAGACAGCAGGAAACGTTGACTGTACGCTATGAAAACGTGCTCGCTAGCTTCCTCCAGCATTGAGGGTTTCTAGTTCTGACAGAAAAAGGAAATCGTGAGTGTTCCGTGACCGTGTTTGCGTTCCAAACTTAGCTTGTTTGCAGATTCAGCATGACAGGTTCAATCCTGATTATAACAACCTAAAAAGGTTCTGTCTGCGGAAACTAGCGTTCCTTTTATTGGAACCAATCAGTAACTTAACTTTACAATAGAAAATGAAAAACATTACATAATCATTAAATTAAATGAAAACGAGGAAATAAAGCTTCTTCTCTAGGAATAAAGCCCATTTCTGCTTTATGATGGGTTCGCTTGTTTCAGCTGAGTCTGAGGTTAATCAAAGTGGGGATGGGTGCAGCCGTTTCATGAGTACAAACATTTCTTTGCATATAAGCACATTTTCCTGTTGAGCTTGAGTAAATTTTTACAGAGAATTCTACGCAAAGTTTTATAAATGAGAATCCGTATTATTTACTTTTATATCTGCCTGATTATTTGGTTTTTAATTAGTCTTCCTAAGTGATAATATTGTGTATTTCATCCTTTATAATCACGTATAATTTCTACTTTTTAATACTTTTATAGAAGGACAGATTGATTGCTTGTCACTTCATATTTATTTTAGATGTTGCCACATCGTCTGTGCCTAATTTTACACAACATGCTTTAATTTATATCCTGTTATGATCCCTATTTTAAATCTTTATTATAAACCAAAAGAAGATGGAGACTAATCCAGCTGGAGTTTGGTGATGATGGGAATGTGGGATGTGATGCTTGAGGTGTGGACGTCCTTACTGCAGCCTCCCGTCTCATGTGCTGTGGGGACCCTGCACAGGCGTGTCTGCAGGAGGAATAACCTCAACATTGTAGCTCACCTTCTTGGACTGAAGGAAGCTGTAGCTGTTGTCAAAACACAGCACGTCTGCACAAACCAAAAGACATAGTCAGCAACGTCTAACAGCTGAGTTTACAAAATAAGAGTTTGGCTTGATTACAGCAGAGTTAATGTTCATCTTCACATTATATTACATCAGTTTGCTTGGATATATACTGTGTGTCATACACAGATTCAGAGAATAATGTTCATTTGTTAAATGTTAGTTTTCCTGCTTATGGTTGAATCAGAATATTAATCCCACTGACTGAGGCCACAAATGTGATAAAACTTATTTTCATGGAATAAATCCACAAACCAACAGAAACTCAATGTACTAATTAAAATACCAAAATGAATAAACACCTGCAAACACTTTAAACAAATCAAATACAATTGGAATTTCATAATGAGGGAAAAACAGAAAACAGCTCAGCAAAAACAACCATCAGAAATAGAAACACCAAACCTTTAATTAACAATCCAAAACTGATCCGCAGATTAGAAAGTTGAAACTCACAGACTCCTGGCTCAGAGCAGGTGAGACTGTTGTTCTCAGGAACCAGGTGAGCGTTGTAGCGTTCACTGGGTAGGACCTCCATCATCTCAGAAACCTTCTTACTGCTGCCCTCCTTGGTGCGTCTGTACACACCGAACCCAATGTCTGCTCTGTCGCTGGAGAACTGCCACCTGAGAGATGCAGAAGCTGGAAGTCACCATATCAACTAACTCTGTTTATTCTCACCTGGTCTAACTAAAACGATAGAGCTAACAAATTAAACGAGAGGCTGTTTTTAAAGATGTGGTTCACTCGTTTAAAGTTAAAGTCCTATTGGGCATCATCACACTGGTGAAATTACATCTCCGCATTTGACTCATCCCCGTGGGGAGCGGTGAGCTGCAGCAGTGGCTGCACTCAGGAACTTTGGTGGTTTATCTCTGTTAATGAAAACATAATCTTTTTTTTTTTTTTGCATGAAAGTTCTGTAGAACTAAGTTGCAGTATCCTGCAGCTACCAGCAGGGGGACACATTACACCAATAATGCTTTGTGTTCAGAGTTAACCTCAGACTGAACTGAACATTGTTTTTAATATTGCCTACACTAAAAACCTCTAGATATGATCATAAAAGTCTAAAATAGCTATTTCTTTATCTTTATATGGGAAATTTGATAACACTTTATAATAAGGGTCCCTTTAATAACAATACTTACTGAATTATTAAGCATTATTAGTAAAGTATTAACAACTGCTTAACCACATTATGTAATGCATTATTAAGCAGATGACCCCACCCTTTGCCCTAACCTTAAAGGGGTATTTTAAATTGTGTCTATTGACATATTTCCCAGAGTTAGATAAGTGGGGAAAAGAACCATTTCTAACCAGCCCAGTCATTCTCCTGACCCGGCTGTTCTCCTTTAGCTTAGCATAAAATACAGTAAGATAAAGGATCCAACTAGCACTGAGTAGAATGAGCCTAATCCTTCATTTAGATTTCTCCTTCATTCTTCTTTGTTTCTTGTTGTATTTCAAACGTGTGGAGCTGTGGTACCTCAGGAGGCTGCTGGGAGCAGCGATGTCATACTCCAGCTGGAAGCTCGACCCGCGACCGATGGTTACGCTGTTGTCGTACTCGATCTTCAGAGAGTCGTGGACGTAGTACGACTTTGGAACTATACCACCATAGTTAATCTGTAAACACAACATGCATTATTTAGTCCAGCCCTTTCAGAGAGATGACTCATCATTTAGGGTCATCTCTCACAAGGGTTCTGCAGTGGGGGTCTCCATCTGGATCAGTCATGGTTCCTCCATACGTCACAGGAAGCTGGTCTGGGTCAATGTGTTTACGCAGAACTTCCTGCCAGTTACCTACAAACAAGCAAACAAACAGAATTCTAAATTTAAAGGGACTTTGCTGGTTTGAGTTTTATATCACATTAATTCATGTGAAAACCTTGTTTTGCATTACAGTTTTGTATGATGAGTAAACGAAAACTAAATATTTATAAACATGAAATGCAGCTAAAATGCTTTGTTACTTAGCTGGTTTACATCAAAACAAATGGCTGTTTGTGTTTTTATTTGCTTGTTTTCTATCAAACTGTTATTTGAATATTTAAATCAATTAGACTAAGCAAAAAAATTTGAACTAACAATTTTATAGATAATTATCTCTGCAGTTAATTTTCAATGCAAGCAATTCAATTGCATGTAGACAACTATAAATAATATTTTTACTAATTCAGATATTTTTTTACATTTTGTATCGTCATGACTCATAATTTGGCTATCTTTGTTAATTTAATGATTATTAAATAAAATTTCCTTCAAACTTTAAGTAGTTTTACAGCCAATTTGATGCTAATAATATATTAAGTGTTGTGTTTTAACCATTTTAATAAACGATAAATGGTCTGTATTTATAAAGCGGCTTATGGAGTCCTACGACCCCCCCAGAGGCGCTTTACAACACGTCATCCATTCACCCATTCACATGTTTATTAAAATCACTGAGACGCTTTAGCACAGCTGTGCTTTCTGACAAACACAACAAATGTACAATTATCCAAACAGAAGTAATTAAATGATAAATGTGACCATTAATCAGTATTTCTGTGTAAAAATAAACAGCTGTTGTCTTACTTCCTAAAATGATGATCTTGCGCCGAGTTTCCTCACACAGAAAGTGTTTGATCAGGCTGTAGGCCATGGGGAACATTTTAGGAGCTGCAGACAGGTGAAGATAACCTTCAGCTCGAATCACTTAGGAGACAAACGCTCACTTTACAGGTCAGCTGCGGTACCTTTGATGACAAACACCCTCTTCAGCCCCTCAGGATAGTTGTCTTCAAACATGGTGAGGATCTAGAGGACACAAAGACTAGTTTAAATCCAGATGTTTTGCACCAGGGGACAAATGTGATATGTGAGGGCATGACAAACCTCTCCATAGAGCTCAATAACAGGTTTCCAGATGTGCTTCAGTCCAAGCCCTTCACAGTCGTAGATCAGGGAGATGGATTCAATGTTCTTCCCCAGCTGAGGTGGAAAGAGGAAGAACTGTCAGATGGAGGGACAAGAGAAAGGGAGGGGGAGAAAACAAAAGGAGGCAAAGAAAGAAGCAGCAAAATGTACTGAGAAGAATGAAGGAGAAAAGTCAGAAGACCAATAGGAGACCTCCTCCCTGACCTTCTCAGACTGCCTGCGACACTCATGGCTCAGCATCTCACAGTGTCTGATCTTCGTCTTCAGGAAGTCCTGTTTGGGCGCAGACATCAGCAGGCCTTTGGGGTCCAGGGGACCGATCACATCATACCAGACGGGACTTCCCTCACAGTCGTACCCACACATGCCCCCAGAAACATACTTCTCTATCACCTAATGACCAAAAACAAAGCTCCTGTCCAGTGTTCACTCTTTCATTATATATTGTCTGTTACTGTGCTCAATCAGACACACATGAGGATAAAAAACACTAGTTACCTCTGGAGGCTTCCAGTCCGACACAATGGTATCTACCTTCATCTGTCTCCTGAAGTCCATGTGCTGCAGAGACAACATGAAGAGAAAAATCATTTAAAGTGTTTGTTTTTAGAGCGACATGTCAGATGTTTCTATGACTACTGAAGAATTTTTAAAAGTTTCATTAGCTTTAAAGGTCTTTATTGACAATAACTTGGTTATTGCAACCAGTGCTGATGCCAGTCAGCTTCTGGTCTGAATCTGGATGGACGGCAGACCATTCTCCATGATCAATGCTGAAAGTTTGTCAGAATTAGTGCTTTTTTTGTTGGTCCACTTGCCTCAAGAGGGTGGACCACAAGTACTTAGTGAGAGTTTTCTGAGCAAGGACCCAAAAGTTTGATGTTTTGCTCCTAAAGCCACTTAAGTTCTGTCTTTGACCTTATAGATCTGTGCTTCATCATGCTGGAGAAGACATCGTTCATCAACAAACTGTTCTTGGGTGGTTAAGAGGAGTTCCTCTGAGAAAACATCTGGGTACCATTCTTTATACACATCTGTCCTGGGGCTAAACTGTGACTGAGACACAGGGATGATGAGAGCTTTTCACGCTTCCACACATTTTCCAGATGCCCCAAACTATCAGAACCGTGATTCATCAGGCGATTAGTTAAATTACCAGACGTCCAGTTCCTAGACCATTTTTAGAACATCAGTCTGTCCCTGGTGGTCTTCTTATAGAGAAATGGCTTCTTTGCTGCCCTTACTGAAACCAGGCCACCCTCCTAAAGTCTTCTTCTCTCCGAGCTGCAGATAAACTCACACCTGCCTGCTGACCTTCCTTAATCACCCCTATCTCGCAGCTGGATCAGCTTTATGAGACATTTCAGATGTTGGACTTTTGTGGGCGTCGTCACCCTGAAGTCGTCTCCACAAATACAATGAAAATGAGGGTTTTTCAGGATTTGAGGAATTTTGTAATTAATTGTGACTTCATTTGATAACTCTCCAAAACATTTAGTGATGATCTAGTGTTTGTGTAAAGCTTCAGTCTGTAAAACCTGTTTGATGTATAAAGGATGCGTCTGGCGATACAGGACATCACTGCTGGTCTTTACCTCCTCGTGTAAGGGTTAAGGGTTCAGATCCCTAGTCTCTGACCTGAGGCGATGAGCCTATCACATGTGGCACACAGAGAGGATGCTGAATGAGCTTTTGACCTTTAACTTTTATACTTAATGCATTGTTTAAACATGAAAATCAGTCTGTTCTCTGTCAGAGGCCAAAAGTCTAAAAGGGTTGAGAAACTTGTTTAATGATTAACAATGCACCACATTACATAACCCCGTATTTGATCATTAGATACAGTGTGTATACAGTAAATAAAGCCAATGTCTTAGACTCAGATGGTTCATATAACAATGTCAGGCAGGAGAAACGTTTCACAGCATCAACCACAGGAAGTCCAACTGAAACTTCAGTCTGAGTTCCTGTAAACACCTGAAGATGATAGGACTCACCTTTCTGATCATCACCTCAGCTTTCTGAACACTGAAGTTACGCGCTGAAAGACAAAAGTTATGTTTTGAATTAGCACAAAACAGAAATGACTAAGTTTCACCCTGTCCTGGCGAAGTGGACGCTGTCGCCACCTAGTGGCACAAAGAGGGCATGTAGTTGTTTTAACCTGGAGTAACACTTTACTGCAGTTAGCAAGTAACGGGACCCTTATTGTAAAGTGTTACCAGATGTTTTTCATAAATACAGAAATATAAAATGTAATTCTGCAGGAGTGTAGGCTGAGTGAGTTCATAATTCCCAACATAAGTGTTTGTTTTCTTTGAAATTTCATCTTTTTTGATGTTTTCTTCTGCCAAAACAATTTTCTCCTCCTTTTTATCGTTATTTTGGCTCTGCTCCTCTTAGGAACATTAAAGTGTGAGATGTGAGTTATACAGCTAATTAGACTCACCACTGTCTTGTAATTGTTTCTTTTTTTATGTTTCATTTGATGTTTCTGCAGCTCTGCGATGTGGTTTTAAAATGTAATGTGCATTACAAACATAAGATATTAATGTTTCACTGTTTGATGGAAGACAAACATCAGCACTTTTCTCACATCATTGCTGACTGGATGTTGTTTGTCCAGTGTGTGAATGTGTGTGTGAATGGATGAATGATACACTGTAGTGTAAAGCGCTTTGGAGTCCTTACTCTGAGAGGTGCTATACAAGTGCGGATCATTTATCATTTATCATTTGTTTGAACCTGATGCTCCAGAAAGGACACAAGTTACAGGAGGGGAGATGCGCACACAGACAAGCATCTATGCTGTCTGAAATAATAAGTTCCCACTCCGTTCCTTGTGCGTTGGTCATGAGCAGACAGGAGGAAAAGTAAAACCAAGGGTTAAACAAACACAAATCCATCTCAACATCCAGACCAACAAGGTGTTCTGATCACATAACAGACCTGACTGGCTGCTTTTAACAGAGCAGAGAAACTGGTCAAAGTTAACAGTCAAAGCAAACATCAAAGTCAGAGTCATTCATCGACCTCGGTCTCCCTGAACTCTTGTCCGGTACGCTGATGAACCTGCAGAAACCAGAGCTTCCTGCTCAGCCAGGACCTGAAAACTCCCTAATGTCTATTTTACCTGTCACAAGCTACGTTTACATGGGCGCAAGTAATCGGAATAAATGGCCTATCAGATCAAAAATTCTCATGTAAACATGTCAATCGGAATATTGAGCCGATACGGCCCAGTCGGAATAAAATTTCCTTCTGATTGAGAGAGGGGGTTTGTCCGATCATCATTCAAAATAATGCCCACTGCACGTGTGCAACTTCAGTGTGACGTCTTTCCGCCTTTGCAGAAGTACAAGTCGAAAAATGACCACAGAAGAGTTCTGTTTACTGGAAAACACTGCAGGAGCTCAATATTACTGAATGTATCAATGGCTGAAAGGCTAGAAATGCAAAGTTAAACACTCAAGTGCATCTAAAGAAGCAGGAAGCGGGAATTCACAGAAGTATTGACCAAATCCAAAACCGCTGGAAAGGAAAGTCAACGGACAAAGCTAGAGAATACGAAAATAAAATGCCTGTGAAAAGACGTGCAGATAAGATGGCGTTTGTTTAAAATTTTGTTTTTCAGGAAAGACAACTGAGCGTGCTCAACCTAGTTGACTGAATGCTCGGTGCGTGTATACTCACAGCAGGATCGGATCATTTCAGTTAGTGTCCATGTAAACAGATTTGGGATTTCTGATCAACCAAGATTTGAATCTGATAGGGAAAATTTGGCGCATGTAAACATAGCTACAGATGATCAATAAACAATAACTCAGGAAAAAAAGAAACCAAAAACTTTCAGCAAATCTGTCATTTTGGCCATCCTTTTTTGTCTTTAGACATGTAATACACTCCATCGATGGTCATATGCTTCTTTATTCTTCTGTAATTATTGTCACACCACATTTTTAGCATAGAGATTCTCAGGGAGACTTTCACTGAATGGCTAATGGTGTTATTACACTGCTATCTGGATGTGTCTGTGCTGACCATAGGTCAGCAGGTCTGGCTACAGTGTGAGATAATAGTTATAGGTTGTTTAAATGAAGCAGGTTGTGTCTAAACAGGAGAAAAGGGTCAAAAATGCTGAGTTTTATTTGAGAATTTTAACCTTCCGAGGGAAATAATCTGAAGGGAATTACTTAAACATTTATAGATTAAGAACATATGTGAAACTAGAACATTTTAAAAGAAAGTTTGAAAGGTGCTTCTGCAAAAATCCAAGCACTACAAAGCTAAATAGTACTCTGGGACTTGCGTTTGTAATAACTAAGCTTTGACAGAATCTAATTATTATTTTAAAAGATAGGTTTCAGTATTTTCGGGTTAATCCGGATTAAATTTTTTATATTTTGGGGATTCTAAATGCAAAATTCTTGTTCTCTAAAGTTCTAGTGCTTTGTTCAATAAACATCAAGGAGATTTAAGAGAAAACTATTTATTTAGCAAAAAGAGACAGAGTGACTGAAATAAAACAAAAATCTAAAGATTCTCTGCAGCGGAAACAGTAGAATTGTCTGCTCATCTCAGATGTACGTTTTAGTGTCTACAGTGTTTTATTTGGGTGTGACAAGTTTAAAACGTCCTGCAGAATGTCAGAGATCAACTATAACGGCCAGATTTGAATACAGTCTGTAAGTCCTGAAGCCGAGAGGGGCTGGGGAGGAAAGGAAACACAACGACTACAATTTGATGTATAAATGATAAGAATCCCAACATTTGAGAGATTAAAGGAAATTTGAGAATAATTTTTGAAATTCAGGCAGCTCAAAAACTGGTGTGAAATCCTCACACAGTTGTAAACAAACTATAAAAAACCCACTACATTTAAGGTTGTTTAAAAAAAACTATAATAAATAATAATATTTGAATTCAGCCACATAATGTCTATCTCTGTGACTTCTTTAAACTTTGGATGATGCTTCGACTGAGAAAGCATTCAGATTAGGATTAGTTAAAAAGCTCCAAACATTCTTCGTGTTGAGGAAATGTAATGCTGCCTGTCAGGAACCTCCATGAATTTTCCACGGATATACTAAATCCCACACATTTAGTTATTAAACCTGCAGCTGGACAAACACTCGTGTTGAACCTGAACACTGAGTGGAGGCGGCTCAAACACAGTTCCTGCACCGAACTTGGGGTCAGGAGTTAGAGACAAGTCACTGATTAACCAAGCTGGGATGCATCGCTTAGGAACATCAGACTGTAAATCACACCCAAAATACCACACCAGAGTTGTATAACTGACACTGGCATCAGGTGTTGCAACCGAGGGTCGGCGTGTGGGAAGCTGCAGCCAGATTACAGTTAAACCTGATACTTCTACAGATTTATTTAACACGCAAGCCCATTTTCTCTCACTATACTCTCGATTTACCCTCAAAATCCTCACCAAGCTGCCCTGGATTTCTGGGAGACTGAAACTTTCTGAAAGTTTGACGTTTTTTTTAGCAGTTTGGGACAAACTGCAGACATAGGCGTTAACTCTGCAACTAGTGTGAGAGGAAATTTGTCTCAAAAAGAAAAACTCTTGTAACACAAGTATGAGGTCCCATGATTCTCATAATCATGGAGTCAGGCTGATAAAAGATTTGACTTGTATTTTTTACAAGCTTCTAAAATGATTCTTTCATCTCTTTTCTTCCAGATTATTGTTTTCATGAATCCATTTGTCCTTCATCTCCACTCTGAACATAACAAGAACACATGAACATGTGTGTATCTTCTAGGTGCCAAAAACATTTGGTTTAAATGGTTTTAACTGGAGCCAAACTGGTTTATTTCAAACAAACGGGTGTGTGTTTAGTGACTGTATGCTCATTCAGACATGCAAACACTAAACACACACACAGCTGTTTGGAATAAAGCCGTTCGTGGGTCAGAAGCTAGAAACCGGGTTGTGTTGGGAACAGGTCTGGTGGCTGATTCAAACCCTTCCAGTCCGACAGAGAGAGAGAGAGAGAGCCTGACCTCTGCTGTTGTGTTCGGTCGACCCGGCAGAAGGCTGAACCTCCACAGAAAATGAAGAATCAGAGTCTGTCATAACTCAAAATGTATTCAATGTGTCTATAGGAGACATATACATGTTTACTGATGTGTTTTTGTTGGGTTAATTTGTCGTAAACAGAGATCAATGTCAGACCAGGTGATCATGGGTGGGGATTTCACATCATCTCCAGCACATGCTGATAATATGGGGAAAGGAGGAGTGGGTGAGCGGGTTGCCGCATATTTTTGCTGACCATCAATTGATTGCTGTGATAATTGTACAGTCTGATTTTCTGCATGCTATGTTTCAAGTTAATTGGAGTTACTTTAATAAAGTTTTTGGAAACGCAAGTTTGGAATCGCAGATGATGCATGTAGAGCGTGTCATGCCAGCCTGACTCAGCCTCTCAAGCGGCTTTTAGTTTGCCTCTGAAATTGCGGAAATAGTGTCTAAGAAAAGCTCTGGATTCATTATTACCAGATTAATAATCTAGAAATGTAATGTTTGACCCCAGGCTCATTGTTTTGGTATCTGTTCAGCCTGTTCACTACCTGGTAATGTCACAGTCAAGCAGCAAAACGATGTTATATATATATATATATATATATATATATATAAGTATGTTTATCAAACACAATTTAAGGTGATGTAAAGATGAATAGAATAAAGTAGAAACATAAAATTATAAATGAATCACTTTTCAGTTATGACTACTCATTCCAGTTAAGTTGTTCTTTATTGATTTATTTAGGTTACACGTACTAAAATTTTTTTTAATTAATTGAAAGTTTGAGTTCTATGTACTTAAAACAAGGAAAATGCTAAACTAACTCAACAAATTTGAGTTCTTAAAACTTTTGTAAAATGACGAGTTTAACCTACTCAATATTTTTGATTACTTTCAACAATTTGGTTTCATCAGATCTGAACCCATAAATCTGTTAAATTACTTCCAGTTTGATGTCCAATTACTATGAAGTGTGAGTCAGCAGGACTCACCTCTGAGCCAGCGAAGGAGGTAGTGGTCGTGCTGAGCGGGCAGGCTTGGGAGGACGTCCTGGATCTTCTCCCGAAACTTCAGACAAAAACCAGAATATAAGCAAACATTTTAAGTTCAACACCAATATTTATTGATACAGTTTCACATGTTGACAAAGATGTTTTATGTGTTTCCCCTTAAGAATTAGATGGTCTGACTTTAGCTTGTCTTTGAACATTACAGAACCGAGTGGAAACAGCAGGAAACAGCTGGTTTAGAGAGTCACTAAGGTGAAAATTCAAAACTGCTCAGGATCTCGGAGCAGTTAGCACTTTAATGTAACTACATGTATGTTACTTGAAAATGGGATCAATAGCAGGTTTGTTGAAAAGTTGTGGATATAATGAAATGTTATTTGGTCAATTTTAGACATGAATAGAATAATTTACCCACTGAGGCCTTTCTATTAAACAGATGACAGACCGCACACTCTCCCTCTTATATATAAACCTACCACCTTCTGTTCAAACCTACAGCTCACAGATACATTCTATTCATCATAGCAAATGTTAGGAGTTATGTTTTTATGTTATTTGCAATTTTTTACCTGAAAAGGTTTTTTTTTTTTTTTTTTTTTTTAGCAGAGATGAGGTTTGCTGAAAACGACAGCTGAAGCTGCATATGAACTCAAGCTGAAACTGAGCTAAACTGTCACATTTGTCGGACAGTTTCTCCTGACAAGTTTTTTGTCAGAAATCGGGTTTTTGAATGAAACTTGGAAGATTTTCCTTCTTAAAGGCCTGCTGTCTGAGGCCGTTTGATCTGATGAAACCATAAGAGGCATGGAGTTTAACAACAGTCAGTTTGATTACTAATTAAAATAAATCGTGCAGGGAGCACAGGTGGATGTTGGATCTGTGCTGGTTTTCAAAAGTGGTGAGGCCAAAAGGTGTCACTTAAAATACCGTTGGGGTGTTCCAACGTCACGGGCTAAAATGACGCTCGTGGTCAGCATTAAAAAAATGTATTTAAAATAATGTGAGCAGCAGAAGACTTTGGTGATTTCTGTGTGCCTACCTTTATTTTGAAGATGTTATGATATAATCACAGCTGTTTGTCGGAGAATGGATCAGAGAACATGGACTGAAAATAACACGAGGGGGAATCTCAGGATGAGACTAACTAGTGTTCGAAGGGGAAAATGGTGTGGGAGTACTAAAAGTTTTTTAGAAACTTTTTTGCAATGAAGCAGAGTGATGTCATCAGAAATTTGGATTTTTCTGAAAAGTCATCAAATTCAGACTGATTTCACAAAAAGAGTTAAAGATACAAAAAAAGCTGAATTATACCGTCACAGCTGAAACTCTTGTGATTGCTCTAACTCTTGAATGAGGTGCTGACAAATCAAAAAATCTAAAAGATTTGCTGAAGAGTTGCACATGTATTTCAGTGAAGTGAAAAATAGCAGAAAAAATTTCATATTTTAAAACACCAAAAGCATTTTTTACCTGAAGTCATACAAGGAAAAATCACAGCAAACTGATGTACGATTTGCAGAAATAACATTTAAACAGCAGAACCTGTGAAAAACCTGTGGAAGCAGAATAAGAATGCACAATGTGCACCAGGCAGGTAAAGGCTCACTAGTCTACAGTCCACCACTACAGACATGTGGGAAGCAACCAGAAAATGATCTGACTGATCTCTGACCTGCGAAAGGCTCTCAGCCTGCTTTGGGCTCAAGTCTCCAACCCGTCCGCTCATGTTGGCTCAGCTGTAGTGTCACTCTGGTAGAGGCAGCTTTTGTGCATGAAGAGTTTAAGAGGTGGATACCACACCTCCTCTGAGAGAGAGATAGAGCGAGAGAGCGAGAGAGAGAGAGAGAGCGCGAGAGAGAGAGAGAGAGAGAGAGAGAGTCTATAAGAGAGCAGCTAAAGAGTGGGTTTATATATTAAACATTCTGGTGATTACGACGCTTCATTTATTGATTTGTTAGAAGTTTCTGGTCCAGTAAATAACACTGTGACCTCTCACACTGACAAATCTGTTCCCTACGCTGAGAGCACCTAATGTAGGAATCACTCTGAGAACAGATAAACACACACACACTGGTGTAATCTGACCTGGATTAAAGCATGAATGTTGCTAGAAAGCATAAACACTGTTTGTTCATTCATGCACATTCAGTTTGTGATCTTCTGTGATCACTTTGACTTTGCACCCTTTGTTTATAATGACACACACACGCCAAACGCACGCACGTACGCACGCACACACACACACGCGCATACAGATAATCTAATAATCATAATTTATATTATTTCTCCTGGAAAGTTAGTAAATCTTTTGTCACCAGTTCTGTTAGTTCTGTATCTTTGATCCGAGACAACAAAATGAGTCATAGCTCTCTGTAATGGGAATTCATTTAAAAATACTGTAATTAAATCAAAGCTTATTCTACACTCTAAAAACTTGGCATTTTCCTATTTGAAGCCTTTCATGCTCTCAGGGAGCAAATTTATGGATTTTAAACATGTTAAAGCAAAGTAAAAATGTATCCCAAACTGATTTTTGATCTCTTAACACAAGTAAATAATTCATTACCTGAAAGAGATTTTCTGAAAGTAAATCAAATTTCCCAAAATTTCACTTGTTCCTAGAAATAGAGCAAATTTAAATGAACAGAAAAGGGTACATTGAAAGAAGAGACATTTTTCATAAAAGTACTTTTATTCTTTAATTACTATTCAGACCCATGGGTCACCAAAATAAAGCTGGTGTCATGAATAAATAGATGATTTACAAGAAATAATACTTCATAAACCATCAGATCATAAAATGACTTATAGCAAACCGAAGAGAAAATTTGCTTTAATCACCCAAGAAAGAAATCATTTATCATTAGAAAGAATCCCCATTCCCGGTACAGAATATGAAAAATGAGCTCAGCGGTAAAATCGCGCCTACGCGTTGTTTTTCCTCCACAAGTCTGTCAAACACGAGTCACATTCACCTGTTAAACTGGCCTCGGGCTTCAGGCAGGACACGCGTAAACACAATCAACTAAACAGAAAACACTCGCAGACTGAGAGGAGATCAAACATACAGCAGCCAATTTGTTTCCATGACAACGTCAGAGGAAGCTAGAGTTTTCGATGATCGTTTTTTTTAATTAAACCAAAATAAAGTAGAATAGTTGAGAATTAAGTCACAATGTTGAGAAAAATATAGTATAAAAATATGTTTGTAAGATTATAACTGAGTCTAAACCAGCACTGGTCTAAATAAACTACCATGATTTTACCAAAATAAAGAACATTTAACTCACACACCATAACCTGCATATGGATCTGAACACATCCTGTACAAAACTCCTCAGAATTTCCGACTGCAGCAGAAGGTATGATAATAATAATAAACTTTCTCTAAAAATGTTATTTTTGACTTTTTCTGAAACATTCAGAATTTACAAGCTTCTTTTCCTGAGCGGCCCAACCCCTCCACCATAGCATTAAGGTCAACCCTGTGTTAGAAAGGAGGTTTACACAAAACCAGACTGCTGCCGATTCGGGAACCATTGGATTCAGAAGAGTTGGATCTAGATAATTAAACCCAACTCAAACTCGATTCTGACAATAATCCAACCACCACCAATCAGATCTACTGAAGAGTAAGCATCTTACCTGTTGTAGGTAGCTCTTAGAACAACCTCAGTTTGGAGAGCCAGTGATTCGATCTGACTGGACTGATTAGCCAACGGTTACATTTTTATTTTCGAAAACTGTCTTAGCCTTATGAACTAGTGTTTTCCCTACAAATGTTTCCAACCGTGGAGGGATGGGGGTGTATGCACGTGAAACGTCTTGCTTCTCCTTCTCCTGTCAGAGCGCGGGGGTGGAGGTCGTAGCCGTGGCGCAGCGCCACACCTGAGTCTATGTAGGGGAAACACTGCCAGTTGCTTGCACTTACATTTTTCTTAGTGACAGCAACAATTACTAAATCTGGCGCATGTCTGGTTAGAAGTTCATATGTTTTCCAGAATAATTGTTTAATTTGTGTTTTCGAATAAAGTAAACAAACGGTTTGTCTGATTGGCCAGATTGAAACTGTTTCTCCAAACGGAGTTTAGACCTTTATCCTCGTCTTCACCATGTGGTGAATCGAAGTCCTCTTGAGCCTTTATTATAATTTTTCCTTTGTTTTGCAGTAGTTGTTGCCAATCTAAACTCACACATAAACACCTCTCACATGAAAATGTTCCCCTAGAATAAAGATAACACAGCAAATTACTGTGAGGAACATTCTAGTAGATATGATGCTAAAATCACTAAACAGTATAATTATTGTTGACATTTTTCCACCTGATGGGCTGAAACCAGCAGGAGTAAAGGTCCACTCTGGTGTTTACTAAACAGCTCACGCTGGACAGAAACTTACAAACAACTCATCTGTGATGGAGATCATCCCCAACAGGATGGGTAAATCAGAAAAATGGAGAGAGCCCTGATCTTTGTTTGTTTTATCATAAAAAAATAGCATTGTTTCCATCTTACGTTCTTTTCACTCAAGACTTATTACCAACACATAGAAACTAAACATCAAACTTCTCATCTCATGCACACAGCGCTAACCTGTGTTGGCTAACAAATCTGCTATGACCTGCAGACCAGTTGGTCTAGCCTGCTCTGATTGGTCAGCTCCAGTGGCCTGATAAAGCTCCGCCCACCATCCCATATCAGCTCAACTCAAACTTGGGATTTTTCTCAAAAATATTTCCTTTTATTTAGTGTTCATACATCTGTGTGCAAGAGGAATTTTTTAATCCATGTTTCCAGATAGTTGGTGGAAAGCAGGACAGTGAAGTCCGTGCTTAAATATGAGCCGTTTGCTGTTTTACTGCTGCTGGAAGGTCCTACAGAGGGTCTAAACTAAAACACTTCAAAAGCTTTTAAAAGACTTTTCTGCTTCAAAACATTGATGAGAAAATCCTCTTTGTTAACTTTAAACCACGAGAAGCTTTGGCTGAGCTGGAAACAAAGGCTAGTGCTTTCCTTCTGATCCAATCATCTTCTAATTGTTAAAATTTGAAAGATGCATTAAAAAATCTCCGATGTGCAAATTTCCAACAGCCTTTTTTCTCTGTGATCAGCTCAGTTTGACAGTTTAAGACCGTGAGGAATGATGAGAACATGGGCAGATTTAATCAAGAATCATAAAAAGATGACGAAGCTAAAGCCACGAGGAGCAGCTGCTACCGGTTAGACATCCTGTTATCTCAGAGATCAGAGTCCCCTCACACTGGTGAGGATGTTCACTACCCTCCATGCACAGGGCTGGATACATTTCAGATGGGTGAAGCGGACACACACCGAGCTTCGTGCAGATTTGTTCGGAGACCAAATAAACAAGATCAGACTAAGATTATCTACCTTCTCCTGCGGCTGACAGCAATGGCATTTAATTAGTGCTGGTTTTGTTTCTCAACAGACATTAGCTCAAAAAAAAAAAAAAAAAAGGATAAAAGTTTGTGTTTCTGAGTCATAAAGAGATGTAATCAGAAACACAAACCAAACACAGATGAACCAATCTGAGGATGTTTATGAAATCCTGTTAATCCAACTTTTGTTGTTTCAACCAATCAAAGTTTTGAGGAAGTTTGACAGAAATAGTTATAAACCTGCAGTGGGTCCTTCATTATTGCTGCTTCTGAACAAACAGCTGTTTGAAGAGTAATTTGGCCATTTTGAAGAGTGTTTTGAGTAAAGCTTATAAAAATTCACCTTCTTAGCTGCTGTAGAAGCACCTTAAAAGAAAAAGTTCTGGTTCTGCAGGACTGATGAGCTAAAGGCTAGGTCAAGGACAGAAAACTAAATGATACTGCTTTTGTCAAAAAAGCTCCAGTCTTCTCACTTTCGTGGAGGTTCGCCCAACATAATAACAAACATGTTACCTAAACTCTCTAGTCACTTATGAGCATAAACGCCACCAGCAGCAGTTTAATAAGACTCTTCCAGAGCATCCAGGGGTCAAATCCAGGTGGAATATTTCTGCTGAATCACTGTTATGTGACACTGGTGGTATAGTAAATGTTAATAAAATAACATCACATGAACAACTATTAAACAGAACTTGTTTTATGACCAACATTCCTTTTGGGTCTTGGCTACTCTCAGACTAGCTGTTAGCTCATCGTTCATCTAGCACAAAACATCCAGGAAGCCAACTGCCATGGGAAAGATAGGAAATCATCAAGTGTCAGTCAGAAACACTGAAGATGGCCTAAATTCCTTTAAATGGTTGTTTAATGCAAAGTTTAGAGGACCTGAATGATGACTGGTTACACGAGAAGCTCTTGAGACTTTAGGTGATGATGATGGTGAATAAACACAACCTTTTCTGCACAAGGCTCACTGTGTCTGAGCGTATAAACCAGGAGCAACGCTCTGGGAGAGGAAACTATTTTCACATATAACCAGCTATGATAAAGTGTGTACAGTAGCACCTGCTGTGATTTCATTCAGTATTAAAATATAATAAATACATCCAAGATGAGACGTGTGTTCTGACAGTTTCTGAGGGAAACATTCACCAAGGAGCTCCAAGATGCCAGAGGCCAGCAGAGAGACAGGAAGGCAGAGCAGAAGAGAACGTTTGGTTGCCCGTCGTATTCCATGTTTAGTGTTTGGCTTCGTATGTTAACGCAGCTTTGGTGAGCACGCCTAACAGAAAATCCACCTGAAATCAGTTTCTGAAACACATCCAACCTCATAGATGGAGCGTCCTCTCAGAGCTCATAGCTGCTTCTGTTCAGCACGTCTCTGTCTCAGCACTCTGAGTCTGTTAGATTGAGTGTGTGATGTAGAAGATGAACTCCATGTCCATGGCAACCGATGGAACACTACCACTACCTCCGTGGATGACGGGAATCAGAGCACCATCCATCTCGTTCATGTAGCGCTGAGGGAGGAGCCTGCCTCCAGAACCAGCCTGGTACTCCACCTGGAAACAAGCACGCCGCGTCAGCACTGCTTCTCCAGACGAACACGACATGTTCTTTAGAACTGAGGATTGACAAATTTAACTGCAAGTCTCATCTGATGACCTGCAAATTCACCGCCTCTAGTCAGATATAAAATAATGGCCATGGCAGAAGTGCCTGGTAATGTAGATCAAAAAACTTAAAGGTTAAACAAATTCACTTATTTTAAAAATTAAGTAGATGAAAACTATTATGGAATCACTTTGTACTTCATTATTACCAAAACGAACGCCTGAATAAGGCTGAATGTGTTTATGAGTCTGTTTTAAACGTGTAAAACTGCTGAATTTTAATGATCTATTTTACAATTCCAGTCCAGCACGTGTCAGTAAATGTGAAATGCTAACAAACACAAAAAGCATGTTTGCCTGTGGAGCATCAACATAAATGATAACTAGACAGAGGAATGTAAGGTGGTGGTTGAAGCCAGAGAACTGAGACACCCCCCAGTGCCTGGGTGCAGTAAGAATAAACGTGTGGACATTTCCGAGAGGCACCTGGCTGCAGACCTCCACTGTCGGGACGGGAAATATTACGTCTTAGATTATGACAGAATATTTCATAATGACCACGTTGTGCAACAGTAAAGGAAAACACAAAACAAAAATGACAAACAAAACTAAGGTTTACTAAATAAATGACAACTATATATGAACTATAGAGAAATAATTGATAGACTTTACGTAATATTAAAAAATGAATGCGTTTGTGAGGAGAGCGATTCAACCGAAACAGCATTCGGGATTTTATTTAGAAATATGACGACCGGAAGTATGTTAGCGTATGTTAGCCTTTTATGTTGAAACCTACCTCGGCCATTCGTTAATTCATTTTGAAAAATTACAACCGTAAGTATGTTAAATGACAACTATATGAACAATTGAGAAATAATTGATAGATTTTACGTAATATTTTATATTGAAACCAATCAATTACAAGCGTAAGTATGTTTGCCGTTTTATTTTGTAATGTATCCCGTGCATTTCCCGTCCTGACTGTGGCGGTTGTTCTGACAGTGGAGCCTCCACCGGAAGCAGCCTGACAGTGGAGGTCTGCGGCCAGGTGCTCTTGACATTTCCACACTGTGGGGACATTTTGCTGGTCCATGCAATGCTAAGCACCCTAAAAGGATTAGGCTATGGGTAAGGCATAGTGGAGTCACTAAAATGAATGGAAGTCAATGGAGGAACCAAACATACATAGGGGCTTGACTATTGTTTGCAACATTACAGTTTCTCAGTCCCCTAGAGTAAGAATAGAGTAGGGAGGATGGATTGTATGATTTAGCCATAGGGTAACTAATTTATAGTGACATCATTTGAATGTAAACACTTCTGTTTACCATAAACACATGAACAAAACCAGCTGCCAACGACATTCAGGCAGCTCCTCACGAATGGTCCAGACCAGGGCAACAAGAAATACCACAGATGTTTTTATAGCAGCAGGCATGCCGACAAGCTTCATTAAAACATTGTTTAATTACCTGCTCAATAAAAATAAATCTAACCAGTGAGTTTATACTGTACAGTCATCTACATGTGAAACTTAAAAAAATTGAGTATGGTGCAAAAGTTTATTTATGTCAGTAATTCATCTTAAAAGGTGAAACTAATATATGAGACAGACTCATTCAAAGCCACCTGATTTTAATCAGCAGCTGATTAACAGGCTTCTGCAGTGCTTGGTGGGCAGATGAATCAAATATGTTGGAACAGGGAAACAACTAAAACATGCTGGATAGCAGCCCTTGAGGGTCGGAGTTGCCCACCCTTGCTTTAAATGGTCTCTCAGTCTAAGGTGAATAACTAAAATACATGACAAGTTTCTCAATGTCAAGGTGCCTGGCCCAGGTGAGGACACGGTCCTTCCTTGGTCAAAGAAAATGGTTAAATGAAACGGACTTACATCACGTGACCGTGGCTCCCATGGCGGTCACGTCACATGACACGTGAGGTAGTTATGTTTTACACATATAAGTTTCAATATAAATGTATCGAGCCTTTTACTTTTTGAATTCTGCATCTATTTGTTGAATTAAATATCTAAGTGAGTTACAACCTGCTAGCCACTGAAGCTGCAACTAACCAACCATAGCTAACTGCTTTGGATCTAAAAAAATGTAGATATCAGCCCAATAACTACAGTTAGTTTACTTACATTTAAACAGGAAATTTGCCCCTGAAGTAGCTGGTGTCTCCTGATCCCCCATCCTTTTGAGAATACCGCTATGTATTCTGGGAAATTTTTGACCAACCGAAGTTAACAAGACAACTCCCGTGTAAGTTTATGTTTATTCATTTAGCAGACGCTTTTATCCAAAGCGACTTACAATTTATAACCTATAGGGCATGTTGTGATCTGTGGGGGAAACCGGAGTACCCGGAGGAAACCCACGCGTGCATGGGGAGAACACGCAACTCCACGCAGAAAGGCCGCAGCCGAGTTTCGAACCTGCAACCTTTGTGCTGCGAGGCAACAGAGCTAACAACTGCCCCACCATGCAGCCCAAGGATACAGTGTATCCTTGGTCAGTTGGCTAAATGGCAGACAAATGGGGGACAGACGCCTCCACAGCACATGAACATTGGAACGCGGCTTGATGGTACCTGATGACGTATCTCCAAGGCAACCGGGGCGGGACCGAGACATCAAAGTGAGGTTCGTTGATATTGAGAAACACCCATGGACTTTTGTCCCATATTCTAGTTTTTTTAAGTTCCACCTGTATAAACAGCTACATGCTAGAGTTACCCACAACTTCCCCAAAGCTTCTGATATGACTCCCTTGACTGCTGGACAGACCTACAGGCTCCTGAGAGATAATGAACAGGTCATGTGTACTACCTTACTTCTGACAGAACAACTGCAGTCTGATACAGAACTACAGCTGCTATCTAGTATGAAAGCAGATAAGATTTTTCTGTTCCGTGTTCTGGTCACTGCATCTTCTCTTAGAAATTTAATGTGTCCAGTTACACTTGTACTGCTGGAGGAACGCCTGTTAAATCTGGCTGACTGAGACTACAGAATGTTTCTCTGGGTTTTACTTTTACCATGTCAGCCTGAGTGGAGATGCGAAGTGAGAGGGTGTTGATTCCCCCGGAAGTAAAAACAGTGAGGTGAGGTGCCAGAGCACTGCAGGTTGCCAGGGCGATCTCCTTCTGAAACACGCTGCAAGATGACAGCACCGACAGCAGGCTGCGGTCATCAGACTTCAGCTGGTAGAACACCTGCAGAGAGCTCGGGTCACACATCTGGACTGTAACGGGACGTGAGACAGGGCAGAGAATCATCTGCTGACTTTTAATAAAACATTCACCTCAGTGCACTTGATGGTTCGATTGTCAGCCTCAAACTCAACATCCTGCTGCATCTTCACACTGTGGACGCCATCCAGAGGTCTCCCATCAACTCCACTGGTTCTTCTACGGAAACACAAAGAGTGAGCAAATAGGGGTCATTTCAATACGTATGGCGATAATCCTAAAAATGCACCAAAACAATGGAGTGGGGCAGCTGTGAGCAGTGTTGGGAGTAACGGCATTACTAATGGCAGTATTTTTTAGGTAACAGAGTAATCTAATCAATTACTTTTCCCATTGTTGCAAAGCCATTTCCGTTACTGAGCATGTAAAGTGGCATGTTACTATAATGTGGTTGAATAAAGCCCAGTAGCGCTGTCAGGCCGCCACACTTGTGATTGTCGGTCACGCACGAAACAGCTCTTGGAGCCCATTGGAGCTGGCTTCTTCTTGGAGGAGCTGGAGTGAGTGATAGACTCCTCCATCTTACCCCAAGCAGGTGTTACAAATGGCAAAAACGATCGGTTTATAGATCGGAGATGTGTGTGCACAGCGCCACACACACACACATCTCTGTTTGCTATGAAAGCAGGGAGGGGGGTGGCGCACAAAATGCCTGAAAATATATTACATTAATGTGATGGGATCAGTAAATGGAGGGCAAATCTGTAAAAGACAAGGACAGCAACATAAACAACGCTTCAGAAAGGTAAAGAGATGAGTAACTAACTCAATTGCTTTATGGAAAAAACAATTTGTAACTATAACTAATTACTTTTTAAATGCAAGACGCTCAACGCTGGTTTTCATGCAGAGAAGTTCAAAGGACATCCAATGTGTATGTGTGTGCAGTTACCCAGAGTTGATGGGCGATGTCCAGTCGATCCAGCGGATGGTGACGTTTTCCTGGATCTCCTCACCGTCATTCTTGCCACATGGTATGTGGAAGTCCATCTGCTCTCTCAGAGCTGAGCGCAATGACTCCATGGTTTCAGGGGGGATCTGAACCATCAACCCATCTAAAAAACAATAAAAATAAATAAAACAAACTATTGAGTTGTTCCTTCACTCATAGGACAGACCAATTACCGTATGTTCCGGACTATAAGTCGCACTATTTTTCATAGTCTGGCTGGTCCTGCGACTTAAATACCAAATTATGTATACCACGCTGCTGCGGGCCAGCTCTGGTCCAGGTTTCAGCTCCTCTGCCCCGCTGGGAGGGTTTCAAACACTGCCATCACCTGCTGCAGCCTGTGGCGGGGTGTTGCGGACGCTCTCTCCGCCAGCTGGGAGGGTTTGAAACACCACCATCCTCTGCTGAATACCGTGGCACGCTGCTGCACGCTGACCGTTGATTCTGTTATTGTTACCGGTACTTGTCTTGCAATGTGAAATGCTTGGTCTCAGATTTTGTAAGAAAAATAATAAAATTTCCCCCCAAAATGTGACTTATAGTCCAGTGCAACTTATATATGTTTTTTTCTTCTTCATTATACATTTCATGGCCGGTGCGACATATACTCCAGAAAATCCAGTAAAACAAGAACCAAATGTAAGGATCATTACCTTCAACAATGCTGGACTTGGCAATGAAGCCAGAGGAGGCTTTTAGTGCTCCATTAAACACAACAAAACTGGCTCCAGTCACTGCAGGAACAAACACACCATTAAATCACAGAATAGACAATTTATCAGATATGGTGATGGCTCACTGTTCCATATTCTGAAGCAGCTACCTGTTCGAGTCTTTCCTGGCATGCTGTTGGCCTGCGTCTGATAGGTTCCCTCCTCGTTCTGGAAACACACCAGGTGGGAGTCAGCCTCCAGGTTGAAACTTGCCCCGATGCTGATGACGTGCTCGTTGGACGAGTTCACCACTTTCTGCATCTAGAAAAGACAGAAAAACACCGGTTTGTAATACAACTGCATTTAAACACGCAAATGTTGTTTCATTCTATCACTTTAAAACCTCTCACTACAGTTTCACAACAATCAGCTCCATTGCTATTTAAAATCCACAGCTGGTTAACATCAGCTGTTTCAATAAAGAATGTTTTATTTAAGCTATGGGTAAAAGCACATATAATTATAACATGAAGGTTTAAAAAAATAAACAACATATAACAAAGTTCTGTGGTTCTGCACAAAATCGGGTGCATTTGCAAGATCTTAGAGCAGTTTTACTCCTCTGTTGAAGACCAAAATACTTTTCATTTATGTGCAAAATCAGCTGTGTTTTGTAGTCAATGTGCAAGAACTACAAAAGGCAAGGAGAGATGACAATCAAAATGAGCGGGAGAGAAAGTGATCGACAACGCTTGTTTAAGTCCAGAGTTCAATAAAGTTTCATCATCATCATCATCTTTATTTTATACATGAATGTTACCGTTCTTATTTAAAACTCCTGGAAAACCCACTTCTTCCACTTGGCGTTCCCTGAACGTGTTTGAGGTCGGCCCTCTTTTCCTGTTTTTGTTAGTCACTTTATCCCTTGTTTTATCCATTTGTTTCTACTTTAATGTATTATCCTCTTTGCACAGTTTTAATTATTTTATTATCTATTTACTCATTGTGATTTACATTTCTTATGTACTGTGTACAGCGCCTTGGGCTCCCTGACAGGGAGGAGCTTTATAAATAAAGCTTTGAATTGAACTGAATCTCACTGCAGCATTCTGAACGAACTGTAGGCGAGCTACCCTGACTTTCACCAAATAAGACAGTTACAGTATTCTATGGTTGGTGTTATTGTAGGGTGACCATACGTCTCCTTTTCCCCGGACATGTTGTCTTTTCACTCTCTGTCCGGGGCGTCCGGGGGGGGGGGGTTTCCTATATTGATCAAAATGTCTGGGTTTTCATCCAGGAGCAGGAATCGAATTATGGGGGCTAGATATCTTTTAGGCACAGATCCAGTTTCTGCCTATATTACAATATTTATGGACTCTCAGCGTAGCGGGATTCTGCTGAGCGGAGAGGACGCAGAGCACTGATCATTGGTGTGCCCGCTGCGTCCGGCGCACGATACATTCTCAAGGTGACGCAACAAAACATTTATTATTAACATATGATCGTTCATATCTGTTTATATCCTCTGGTACTCTGTCTTTTAATCGTTCCTGACGAGCTCGCTCATCGTGTGCTGCGGTGATTTCACCTCACTGACGCAGCATCGGATCTGCGTAGTTCAAACGTAACTGATGATGTAAATAGTAAGAATCCAGGGAGCAGTTTTTCTAGAGAATTTAGAGGAGATGCAGAAAGATGAGAGACAGACAGGACATGAAAATAGTCACATAAAAACAAGAACACAAAGCTTGAAAGTAAAATGTAGCTAGATTTATCTCCACTACACATTTTTACCTGTATAAAACAACAAGTTATACACATGTAATATTTATACATCTGATAAAATTAGATCACCTTCAAAACTCAGTCACACACCCAGGGCCGTTTCAAGGCATTTTGGGGGCCAAGGCAAAACGGAACGCATGCTCGTTCTGCAGCCAGCTTAAACGCTTGACGCTGGAACACAGGGTCAAGTTTGTTCTCAAGGTCCTGGGGGAGGTTGCTGCCTCCAAACAGGATCCTATGCTCTCCGAGTCGAGAGACCCGGCGGCTGCCTGTTCACTGTCCCCACTTCCAGCTTGGCGGACCAAATGGACTTCATGGAAGGGCTACCCGAGACTCAGAATTCCCTGGTCCCTCCACACGAGTCCAACAGAAGATGAGGACGACAACGTTTTGGACATCCACACAGATGACCGAAGTATATCTGGAGATGATGCTTTCTCCGCGGCTCAGTGTGCGACTTTTACCGCCGCTGCCTCTCCAGTGACCCAGGACAATCTGTCGTTTATTCCCCTTTTCCGCCGTGCTGCCAAAAAATTGGATGTGGAATGGCCCGCACCTCTTCCAGCCTAGAAAACCTCCAGGCTCGCAGGGTTCTTTCTCCCATCTGAGCCGGCTGCAGTCAAGAACCGGCTGCCCATGTGACAGTCTGAACACCAGACTATGGTGGTACTCAACACTCGTAGCAACATTTTGTGTAAAACAACTTCCGCTGTGAACAAATTGCGTTCTTTCGTGAATGTTGATTATGCTCATACACAGATGCTGACCACTTGCTTGTCCGACTACGGTCGGGATGTGAGCACCTCGATTGACACCCTCCTCATGGGGAGGATCCCTCCGTACCTCGTGTCCCTGGCCATGGTCCAGTCTGCGATTGCTCGAGTGACATTGAAGGTCCCGATGGCCCTTCAGACTCACTTGGCTTTCTCGTTGGGCAGTGCTATCCCGTTAAGTGTCAATCCAGATGCTGGAGAACTAGCTTTCATCATCAACTTACCTATCCTGTCCCCAGAGGACATCTATAGACTAAAAGATGTGGTAAATGTAGGTAATTGGGTTGACGACACTCACGTCAAGTTACATATGCCTCCTGTCGTCACATTCCATGAGGACACGCCTTATATCCGGTTGGTTCCGGATCTGTGAGTGTGTTTACTCAAACGTGGCCTACACTTCTTGTGTCCAGGCACAACTTTTCTGCGTGGCGGTGCCACTGGTGTGTGTGGCATAGATGAGTTGTCGGGAGATTCTAAATTTCCTATGACTGTGACTCCACGTTTGCATGTGGTTCAAACTACGGTGGTAGTTGTAGCTGAACGTTGGTTGGTTAATACCCCTGCTCGTGAAGCGGATGTTTTCTATGAGCGTCATGGTGTGTCTACACGTGTTGTGTTTCCGTCCCAAACCCTATGGGTGGCAGTTCCATTTAGTGCTGTGGTCCAGGTAGCTGAGGTCTCTCTATATTACTTGGATCCTGGTAAGCATAAGTCTGTTGTGGAGTTTTCTTTTTATGATAACATCTCCTTTGCTCTTTCTCCAGCTACGGTGGATCGTGTTACATTCAGTGGTCAAACCATGGTTCGGGTTGGTGTGGTAAACAGGGTGCTGCGTGAGTTGTTGGCAGATCCTGGTCTCAGGTTTCAACCAGTGTCTTACTCCTGGTCCTCCGCCGATTCTGTCGTGTTATTCACTGCATGCCTAAACCTTTGTTTGTCTTTGGGGTTGTCATGGCTCCTGTTCCGTCACTTCTCCGCACGGTTGACCTCTCTAGGGGACTCGGTCTGCAGAGTCGGTGGCCGCCTATCTCGAGCTCTCGTGCCGGTTGTTCGTGACGCCCCAGCTGCCCAGGTGCCTCCACCTGCGCCGGCCGGTCCTGTACCTCCACCTGTGCCAGTCACTCCTGTACCTCCGCCTGCACCTCCGGTTAGGCATTCAACTTCAAAATGTGGGTAATCTCAATTGTCCAGGTTCGCCTGTCCCATGGTTCTCTGTTTGAAGTTACACAAGTTTGTTTGTTTGTGTAGCGTCATGAAGGAACTGTTTTCCACCTAAAGGTCATCTCTCCTCATGAAGAACTAATTGCCTTGAGATATAATGCTCAAGGCCTTTGATGTCTCTGCATCTAAACTATTTTAACTAGCTATTTGCCTCTCCCTACAGCTCAAGAAGAAAGAAGACCAAGAACTCTATTAAATAATAATCAAATAGCTTTGTTAGTCCAAATAATGTAAAGCTCAATGTTAAATCAGTCTGTGAAATGAGAATATTAATTACTTGATATTATAATCCTATGATAGTATTTTAATAAGTAACATAACTTTAAACTACACACTAGACTGATCACACGTAATGTTAAAATCACATGACACATTCCTTTGTCTCTCCAATCAGAGCTTTCCTTTCTGAAGCGTGGCGTAGTCTGTGCGGTGTTTATTTTTGTTGTCAAATTCTGATTTGACCATGAATCAAAACATCTGAATTATAAAACTAACTACCAAGTCACCCTTAACTCAGTTGCGAGCCGGCCACTTGTAATTTTTTAACCACAAAGAACCTTGACAAGCTGGATTATAAAACCTGTTGCAAGCTACACCTGACGCAACGCTCCTTCAGAGTAAAAGCTGAACTCACTGACCCTTCAGAGTCCCGCTGACGCTGTCAAACAACTGTCGCTTACCTGGAGGCAATCCCAAGACTAGTCTGTCATACCGTACGCTGTTTCACCAGCTCCGGTACCAAAGGGGGGTCCGAGGACCTGGCATTCTGGATTTACAACGGAGGTCTCCGCAAGGGTATGTAGAACGGCAAGATAGCGTCTGAATGTCTGAACCCTTAATAACCTGGTGGAGGAGCTGGTGAAAGCGGCTGACTTATTTGTGGACCCGGACAAGCAGAAGATGAGTACTGATCAGATTTTCAGCTCGACTTTGATCACTTCTCCTCTGAAGTACCGTTAGAGTCTGACCACACAGAAAACTGAAGTCTTCAGTAGGGGTAGGAGCCTCAAAGTTGATCAAGAGCCATTACAAAAAGCTTTCAGCTAATCGGCCCATGAAGACCTGAACCCTCTCTCACCTCATTGAAGCTACTTTTGGGGATTTCAATATAGCTGTGACCCATCTCCATGTGGATCCTCAGGCCTTCCACCACTGGAAGACTGTACTGGTAATTTCTCAGATCCTGAAACAAAAGAACGTACATATTTGTAAACCTGAAACAGTTTTTATGTGTCCTGTTTCTGCTGGAACTAGTGATGAAGACTTTGGACTGCTTAGACGAGTGTCAATTCAAACAGCCCAAAACCCTCCTGTTGGAGGCTAAGGTGAACACATATCTATCCTGTAATCAAATGTTTGCAGATTTCTGCTGATCAGATTATTTAGGTAGTCTCAATGACCGTCTTTTAAAAAAAATCACAACAATTAAATGATAAAAACTTTGAATGTTTACATTATTTTGCTCATTTTTGTACCTTTGAGCTCAACAGTCTTCTCTGTCATTTTGGAAACAATGCAAAGAAGATAATCAACTTTAGATTAATAAAATGCGACTTCAGTGGGATAAAGAACATGATGGTGATGTTTCAGTTTGAAATAAGGTTTGTAAAGATGTGAGAAATGACTCCAAACTTTCATACTGTGGTACTTACAGCCAGTAAGTTCATGATGGTGTGTCCTGCCTCTCGATACACAGAGTCCCGAAAACGAACACTATACAAAGCAGTGGGATACACTGGAAAACAAAAACAAATGTGCAACAACACAACTGCTGAATATACACTTACACACAACAGGTATACTGTAAGTACCGGCACAAAAGTAAACTACACACTGTCATATGCGGCTCCAAGCCGCAGAAGCAGTCTGAGCGGGAAGACTTTGGCCCAGGGAACCTCCAGTTTCTGAACAAGAACACCAAACAGGAAGGACTGTGTGGGGAGTGCCAGGCCATCCAGAGGCTGACAGGAGGGAGAGAAGAACAGCATCCCAGCATGATCTTTACTGCCCAGGAAACTGCTTGTGAACATCATGTTATCCAGCTCCTCCACAAACTTCCCTGGAACAGACAGCAGGAGTTGTTTGTGTTTTTCTTCAGTAGCTGTTTACAGACAGAAGGGTACCTGAGTGTACTGGGTACCTTTTAGGGCATCTTGATAAATGCTGAGATAGAGTAAGAAGAAGTCCCTGGGAAGAGTTTTTTCTCCTGGTAAACACTCCAACAGAAACACCAGCTCTTTTTGTCCCAGTGCCTGTAGCCCGTTGGAGCTGAAGCACCAGCACTGCCTGTTGGAGTCTGTCAGGAAAACAAAAACACAGAAATGCTTCAGAGGGACTTCATCGTAAGGAAGATGTGTAAATGTCCTGTTCAAGAAGAAACCATACTCATGGAAAAACAATGAAGGTCTGTTCTACTCACATGTAACCAGTTTGACATTGACTAGCAGGTTGGCATTCAGAACAAAAGTCAGAGGCCGAGGTCCTCCCTCTTCCAGTAAGTGCAGAATCTGGCAGGGTGCTGGACTCTCCTCAACCAAGACGTCTAAACATCAGACAAAGACAAGTTTATCTTAGAGCTTCGATCACACTTATCAGTTTCCTAAAAGCACAATCATATAGAGACTTGTTCTGAAAAGGTGTTTTTCAAATTATAACTTTTTTTTGTATTTTCAAAGACTGAAAAATGCTCTATGTGCAGTCCATCTACTGAAGCAATCCTCCTCCTCCCACCTTCTCCCTCATCCTCTCCAGTGCTGATGAGCAGTGGTGGTAGCACATCTTCATTATCTGGCAGCAGGCTGGGAACCCTCCTCACTGAAGAACTGATTCCAGAAAGCAGCCCATAATCCCAGGGTCCTGACACTGGAAGCCGGACTACGTCTGCAGATCCAGAACCATCTGGGGTGGAAGAAACACTAACTCCAGGGTCCAACCCTGATGAGGCAGGCTGAAATCACACAGTCAGTTTCTCTGATGCAGATCTCCATTTATTTCACCAAACATACTTTGATTTCTAAAAATGTAAAAATGTATAAGTTTCACCTAACTGTTGAATCAGCATGGTGGTGGATAAATACATATAACTCTAAGCAGACAAGATGTTTTTCCTACTATTGTCGGGTCTGAAGTGAACTCCTGGGAGCTCCTGCGACTTGTCACTGATAGTTTGGTCGTGTCGGCCACCTCTCCGTTTGGTAAGATGCCATCAGCAAACCACACACGCTTTTGTTCACGTGGACAAGCTGAAGACAACAATGAACTGATTCAAGCTAAATGAGACCAAACTCTAACTACAGGTTAGCACCCGAGTCTTGGAGTGAGCGTACCATCGTTGTTTGGGTGTTTAAGAACAGACACAGGGACCATGACGGTTGGCGGTGGGGAGTTCAGAGTGCCAGCAGCTCGAGCCTGCTGAAGAGGAGGAATGGTGCTGCAATACTCAGACGGGACGTTGGGGTTTGGGCTGGGACCTGTAGGACTCATCATCCGCTCCACAGCCTGGGCTGAAAGAGTTTACTGATTCATTACTCTCACCTAAAAATAATGTAAAAGTTAGTGGTGACCTGTAAATTCTACAATAGTTAGACAGTTTGTTTACTAAACTGACCATTTGTCAGTTTAGTGAAAAGTTCTCCTCAGCCAAAACAAATACCTCTGTAATAGATTTCCAACCTTCTGTTCCTTTGAAAACTTGTGAATTAATGTTATTAATCATTAAATTTGTTTGTAAACAATGGTGCTCTTTGTGACTACAAATCAGGTCAAGGTCAGATCGGGACATTTCTTAGTTCCACACAGGCTTGAGTCCAAGCTTCGACCTAAGAGACTGATCCAGTTCACAGCAGCAACATGAAAACCACAACTAAACAACTAACTAACTAAAGAGGGTTTATAAAACCTGACTTGAAAAAAGTATACTATAGAGATAAGCTGAGTGCAAGCCTGAAATAATGTGGAGAAGTCTTTATGATGAGTTTGAGTCAAGTTAAACTGATGCAAGAAACGTTTCTGGACATTTACCAGATTGTAGAAATTGCTTACATTGGTATCACATGCCCCATACGACCTGACCAAATATATAAATATCATCACAATGGTGAACTTGACAGTCTAGAGCAGCGATAATCAATTGGCGGCCCGCGGGCCCTCTCTTTGTGGCTCCCAAACCCCGTGCGCACTCCCCACCCCCGACGGCCAACCGGGAGGTGTAGGATAGATAGAGCTGAGGAAAATAATCAAATAATCAATGCATCCAGATGCGGGCATAAACGATTCTGCATCATAGAAGAGAACCATAATCAATTATAGTGGAATGTAGTTGTGTTAATTTAACGGCGGCACCAGCGCAGCATCCAGATCTGCCAGAGCGGGTGTTCTCACATTTACCGGGTAGGAAGCTTTGGTCTGCCTTTATGTGGTGCTGCAGGGCTGAGCGCTGGAGTTATAACCTGAGACCGAACCTGAACCGAATCAGCCCGATCGGTTCTGTTGGATTTGGGCCGTGAATTATGTTAATTGAGCGGGTTGTCACGCTGCACACTCCGCTCGCTCGATCAGCGACTGAGAGAGAGAGAGATAGAGAGAGAGAAAAAGAGGGGGGATTGTCTGCTCACACAAGAGAGGATTGGAGGACGCTCCTCCAAACACGCATTATTATTTTCATAATTTCATTATTATTTCTCCTGGAAGCACTCAGTCAGACCGAGTGTTGTGATGTCAGGAGATCCGTCTAGGGGAGGGAGCGGGGTCAGTGACGGGGGGCGGCTGCAGCGTAATCATGATCTGTCTCTTATTTAGGGACACGGAGAAGTTAAAAGGAGAGAGAAATGGAAGATAGAAGTTTTTGTTCCACTTTATTCTTTTGTTTCATGATGATAAACTGATGTTAAATTCAGCTTAAAGAGAAACTGGGAGGAAGCTTTGGTTCATTTTAAGTTACAGGAGATCTTGTTTCCTATCTGCTCCTCCAGAGACAGCATGGACATGAGGGTTACATGGTGAGGGTCACACAGCCAAGCTGGAGGTGTTGTCCTTCTTTATATTGCAAGCGTGTGTGTTATGTTCATTACAACCAACGATCCAAACAGTAGCAGCAGAATTAAGTGTATTAAGTGCTTAAACCTTTCAAGTATCAGCATTTTTTTAAACGTGCATACAAAAACTGGCGAAAGTTAACACTTTAAATCATGAATTGTCTCACTATATATACACTATTTGCAGAGTGATGTTTTGCTGCTTAAACTCTGTTTAAGGTGCATTTTTGTCATGAGATGTAATGCCATATGTTTTGTTCTGTACTTTTGAACAACTCTGTTGGTCAATAAAGGGAGAAAACGAATTTCTCCACAGTAGGACAAAAGTACATCTACCGGTAATCTTAATAAAAACAGACTGGCGCACGGCAGTGACATCATTAAAAGCGCCGGTGAATTAGCCGCAGCTAGTCTGTTCACGCCTAGAAATCCCAGACCCGCTCCAAACGAACAGGGGAATCACGTTAATGATTCCTAACAAAACCTTTCGACATTGAGATGTTTTGGTGCAGATAATGTCTTATTCGAGGCTGCACCATGGGTGCCCGTCCGCACCCGTTATATGGATATACACTGATGGCGATTCGTCGATGGATATAAATACCCCGGGGAATCCAAGTAGCACCAAAGTTGTCAGCGTGAGTAAACAAACGTACTGCATGCTAGAAATTAAGTCCGGGTTGCAATAAACGGGAGTTTCCTGTAAGCACATAAGCGTGAATATACAACTACGTGTCGGACTTGGTATGCTAATTAAGTTGGGCTGTGAAGCGCCTCCCAAATTCGCTGTTTATGTTTTTGTTTACTTATTAGGCAGACAAAACTTGGATCGGAGACAACTCGCTTGGGAAATTGCAATGTAGCCATGCGGCGTCTTCTTCTTCTGCTTGTCTGGGAGGCGGAGGCTGCTTTACGGCATCTGGCTGTCGTGGGTGTCGGTGTACTTGATGAAGGCTGTGTATAATAGTCCATAATATCGATACCACAGGGATGGAATATCTTATTTAGATACCACTTTTAGCATCGATTTATATCCAGGTATCAATTTTTTTGACAACACTAATGCTTGGGCATTTAGCCATTACAAAGGCCTGAAACACTTCCCAACAAAACATATTTCATATGGAAATAACAATGATAATAAAACAACAATTCTCAGGACAGAATCAGATCCACTGAATGAAATCAATATCTGAAAGTGATCGTAGAAAAGGCAGGCACTCCACCTGCACTTGCCGCTTTCACAGCAGAGATGAATGAAGGACAAATGTGAGTTGTGCCTTTTCAGAAATGCTCTTTATGACTAAGAGCTTTTTCTGTGCCTTTAGGTTGCACTCGCAGAAGTGCTGCTTCAGCACACGTCTACACTATATTGATTAAACATCTTACAGCTTTATTGATTGGGTGGACACTGACAACAACAACAGTGTGGCTCACAAAAGCCCAGCAACATAAAACCTGAAGCATATTATAAGACATTAAAGCTTTTTAGACTTTTGTCAAAAATATAACACACAGGTTCACTCAGGAGAAGGCTGCAGACAATGTCAGGTTAATCACCTCAAGTACAAAATAAATATGCAGTAATAACCCATTATAGCCTTCTTTTATGCACGTAGAGTGCAGAGCAGAAATGACAGCACAAAAATAAACACTAATGCAACAAAAAGTTGCTAAATTCATCTTACCTCCTCGTTATCCTCTGTTCAAAATCCTGAACAGATTCACATCATAACAAGTCCATTCATCAGACTCACCTCAGACAAGACACCACAGCTTTGTTCAAGCTCCCATTTCCAGGAGTGTGTTAGCATTAACAGGCTGCTAGCTGCTGGGTGGTGTACGAAGGGAGGAGATGAGATGGCAACACAGCCAGCCTCAGCAGCCCAGAGCCACTAAAGTAGATCGCCTCTGTTTTTAATTCAGAGGGTGTGTGAGCATCACATGCTCACTGTGTTAGGCAGAACCTGGGCAACACACACCTCCACGCACACACACAAAATCAAGGACAAGAGTCAGTGCCCGTTGTAATTCTCCACCCTTTTCCGTGTCCTCTCCATTTATCACCTCCCTCCTGAATGTGCTGAAGTTTTTAAATATACAGGAGCTTCTTAACATAAGAGAAAAGGACAGGCACTTGATTTACTGACAATGTTTTCCACAAAAGCTTCAGTATAATGTCAGATATTCATAATCAAGCCCATGAGATCCTTCATGTGTCATTCCATTTTTCTTTGATGATTAATATTGTAACTATCGTTGAGTGGAGAACTTTTGGTTCTTTGTTATTTTAAACTTCAAGCAACAGATCAAACAGGAACTGAAGCAGGACTTTCCGCCACACAGCATTGTAAACAAATGGGGGGGGGGGGGGGGGGGGTTCTGCTACTTTGGCCCATTTTTGAGAAACATTTCCCAAACAGCACTGTCAAAATCAGATTTACCAGCCAGCTGACATGACAGATAGGGGATGGGAACAGTCAGCAGAAACTGCTTGATGCATGATTAGAGTTTCCTTTAGATCTGTGGTGGAGTTTGTGGTGGTAGTTCATCTTTTTTTTTTTGGGTGGGGTGGGCTAAAATGCTGTGTGGCCTGCTTCATAACACATTAGTGTACCAGTGGGCCATCAGGTGCTTTGCTGCAGTGGAGTTCAGTGTTTTTGTGGTGACACTGGACTCTGACATCACAAATCATTACCCTCTACTTCTTTCTCATCAAATTGCCAGAAGCCGCAATATCACTGGGCTGCAGCTTTTGGCAGCAAATCATGAATGGTTTTTGTGAGTGAGTCTTCAGAATGTCTCAAAACATTCTCTAGAATTGTGGATCTTCTTGCTGTTCTGTCGCCTGAAATGTGATCATGCTTGAAAGAAAAAGAGCCAGAGTCCCCTTGGGTATCTGGAACCCTTCTGAGTTTAGTTTCTGAAAAGGTGTGAGACCAGTTAAGGAGGGAGTGGTGACCAAATTGTGACTAAATTAAGACATGAGACTGGACAACAGGAAAACTGTTCAAATTTGTTTGCAATGATGTCATCTGCTCAACGTGACCCAACCACATCTTGTGTTACATGTAATGAATCTGTGTCAGTTCAACAGAAACTTTGCATATTTTCTTGCAATCTTTTGCGTTCCAACTTTCAGAGCTCAGTGAAATACAGGCTTCAGGTTTTTAAATCAAACTCCTTGATATTTTTGTAAATAATTCTTCAGAATGTGACAAAATTGAATGTAAAAGGTGTTAATTTCTGAATAAGATGGCCATCTATGTTCTGTTTGCTGCTCAGCTGGATGTGTAAATATTTTCATGTTTATCATCTTCCTAACTGGCCTAGTTTGAGACTAAATCATGATGAGTGAAAACAAGTGTGTGTCCTGGTGACATCAGAAATTAGGCAAGGAAAAAAAAGCCCAGAACTGCTTGGACCAGCACGGACAAGTCTGCCGTAGCAGAGTGGCACAACACAACACGGAAGAATTTGAAGTCCTAGTTCCTGATATTTGCGCATCTCACCTCAGATTGGATAACAGCAACGTGACTTTACCACAAACTTGCAACGTGGATGTTGTATCTCCACACATAACACAAGCCCGGAGGAGTTATTCTGTGTGGAGGAGTTGCTAATGCTAACTGGCTAGCTTCTACTAGATGTTGTCTGCTGATTCCTGAACATTAAAACAACTGTCTACCCCGTCATGAGTCAAGATGGATGATTCCATGAATGTTAAAGGATACTAAGAAGTTTTGGCTTACATTTAGCACCCCCTAGTGTCCGTTTGTAGAACCAAAAACAAAACTTATCTCCTCAATGTGCGTTCATCTTTTTAACACCTTAATCTAACAGCTGAAATGTCTCCCAGCCTACAATGACATTTAACAACCTCTCATCATTTTAGTGGAACAGCTTGCACAATTGGTGGCTGCCAAATAGTTTTTGCCTCACTGTATTACTCAACTGAATCTTGTGCACTCTAAAATTACAGCATTACACACAAAAGATAAGCTTCCCTCTGATTTAAATCTACCTAAACAGAAAGCAAATAAAAAGCATAATCATTCAAATAGTTGTATAAATACACAAAATGTAACATTTATATTTAACAAAAGCTTCAGATTTTCCAAAAATTGGTTCATCACACAGTAAACACTGGTAAATCTAAGTGTACATGTGACGTCAACCATAAGAGGGGTCTTACCTTTGTTTATAGTCACAAAGCAGAAGATACACACACGAGCCTCTTTGTCCAGGTACTTGAGCCTGCACTTTTTGTTGCAGCAAGGGGTGCAGTACACCTGTCACATACAACACACACAATGACAGCCATGTTGATTCACAACCTCCAGAAGAGTTAGTAGGGTTCCATACAGAAGCTCATGCTGTTGGTGCCGTAAACAAAAACATCCTGCTCTGCTTCAGCTTTAATCACTGGCCCTTAAAGGTCTTAACTGCAGCTTTAGGAAGCTCGGCTCAGCGCAGATCAACAGAAGAGCTGGAAAAAGAACTGCTGACTCATGCTATCTGCTTTCATGAATCCACTGAGCTATTTTTAGACCAAGGATGCAATCTGCTGATTTAAAGAGCAAGTCACCCCCTACAAGAGTATTACTCCACTCCCACTTGAAAAACGCAACAAATGCTGTTGCCTAGCAGACTGAGAGGGTGGAGCCGCTAACAAACAAACAAACAAACAAACAAACAAACACACACACACACACAGGCTCACAATGACATTGTGACATCATATGGTACCAGCTAACCTTCTATGGTACCTCTTAGCCAATAGCTATGACAGATTTAAATTCAAATGCAGTGCAGAATTTTTACCTGACAAAGGCACAACACTGACAGTTTTAGGCAGAAATTTCAAATTTACCTAAAATGCACTAAAGTGCCAAACTAATGACTGCAAGTGTCTGCAGCACGATTAGACATGCATTTATATAGTTTATCAGAAAAAATAAGTTGATTTAGGGGTGACTTGCTCTTTAACTATTTCAGGGATTGATGGGAGGTGGCACGCCGGCGCATGAATGTGCCCCATGTGCCCACGCGTGGGCGCGCACACACGCACGCGCGCACACACACACACACAAATATTATTATTATTTGTTTTGCCTTTTCAGGTGTATCAGTACTTGAAAATCGAGCCGTACAGAAGACTATGGAACTCCACAGACCTGAAAATGATGGAGGCAAATAATCTTGCAAAGAGATGTGAAAAAATTATAATAATCATTTTTAATGTGATTGTTTTTAGAGCTAGTGTAAATCTGACTAATTCATAAGCTGCAGATTTTAACATCAAAGGCAGCTGTCTGACATTTGGAATAAAGCAGGATTCTTCTGATAGTAATTAATAAGAAGCCTTTATACACTTACTGGCCACTTTATTGGGTACAACTGTCCAACTTCTCGTTAACGCAAATTTCTAATCAGCCAATCACATGGTGGAAACTCAAACAGAAATTCTTTTACATGACATGGCAACTCTTGATCATGTCAACATGCATTTAGGCAGGTCACATGATCAAGACGATCTGCTGCAGTTCAAACCGAGCTTCAGAATGAGGAAGAAATGCGAACAAGGCATGGTTGTTGGTGTCAGACGGACTGGTGCCTTGTTGATGCCAGAGGAGAATGGTCAGAGTAGGGCTGGGCGATATGGCAAAAATAGAATATCACGATTTTTCCTATATTTTATCACGATTTCGATTTTATCACGATTTTTTTCTCCATGAATAGCATAACTTCAATTGCGTATTAAAGAAGAGAAGCATTGAATAAATAAACATTTATTCATATTAGGGATAATCAGCACAGTGCTAACACACTTATATTTTAAACTCACACCAGAGATGATAAAAGCTCTGAGAGAAACAATTACAAAAATCAGTTTTTCTCGTTTTTCAAGTAACTTAACATAAATTAAAATCGTAAACATATTTAAAGTGCAAACATGTCAATTGCAAACGTATTGTGCAAACATTAACTTGTTCAAAATACTACGTAGCTCCCAGTTGCTCATGTAGTGGATAGTTAAGCTCAAATACGGCTCTGATGTGCGGCTGGACCAGAGATCGCTTGTGGTAGCAAATAACTGCGCATTCTGAATATTTTCTGCAACAAGTCTCTAAATAAAGTAAAATTTTCCAGTGCAGATTGGAGACAACCCATAGAAGCACTGATTTGATCTCATTTCAGAGAAAAATAGAACAGGTCAGATGCACCTAATATATAAAATTACTAACAAACTCAGGAATCTTTCTTTGCTTCACTGTTCTGGTGCTGAAAATATCACTAATGCGGATCAAAGGAGATACACAGATGAATGCACCTCTTATTATTTGGAGACTACATTTACTGCAGCTGGCAGAGGCAGAGATCGTTTCTATTGATACACGGAATTTACAAAATCATTTTAAATGTTAATAGGGGAAGACTGCAGGAGGGAGCGGTAAAACACAGGGGGTCCCTAACAAAAACAAGAAACTACGAGTCTGATGAAACCCGCTGGTTTTCCATCAGGCAGTCACGGGGCAGCTCCATTGACCCAGTGACCGAGCTCAGTCCGGTACCGACACCGGCTCGGCAGAGGGTGGACGAGCCGAGGCGACGTCGAGCTCTGCTTAAGAAGCGGTGTTATTTTCCTGCTTCAGAAGAAGCGTCCAACGTGTTTTTACGCTTTCTCCGAGACATGTCACGTCACTAAGTTGTTAGCGCCGCGCGCTAAGGAAACCCTGCGTTCCTCTTCGGAACGAAAACCTCGTTGTCGCTCAGCCGCGGCGAAGCCATGTTTGTTCACACACAGGTGAAGGTGAAAACAAGCGGGGCACTAATATATTACTATGACTCACTCTGATTGGTTAAGGGTCAAACAAAGGCGTGTCATTCGCCTGAGGTAAGTTCCCTTTTCATTCAGAGGCAGAAATTCAACAGCAGAGCTGTGAATCGTGATAAAACGGTCTCTCAAAAATGACAGACCGTCAGATGTGTAGATCGTAAAACGGTCTAAAATCGTCATATCGCCCAGCCCTAGGTCAGAGTGGTTGGAGCTGATAGAAAGTAACTCAAATAACCACTCCTTACAATCACAGTATGCAGAAGAGCATAACACATAACACATCAAACCTTGAAGCAGATGGGCTACAGCAGAAGGAGACCACACCAGGTGCCACTTCTGTCAGCTAAGAGCAGGAAACTGAGGCTACAATTCACACAGGCTCACCAAAACTGGACAACAGAAGATTGAAAAAAATTCCTGGTCTGATGAGTCTTGATTTCTGCTGCAAAATTGAGATGGTAGGGTCAGAATTTGGTGCCAACATGAAAGCATGGATCCATCCAGAACGGTTCAGACTGGTGGTGGTGGTGTAATGGAGTGGGAGACATTTTCATGGCACATAAGCCAGTTTAGTAAACTGCTGTTAACTTTACTTGTCATTTTTGAATCTGCTCAAATCTGTGAATACACAGCGTGTTAATTCAGGAAAAAAAGGACTTTACCTTCCCACAGGCTCGACAGTGATGCCGTCTCTTGGTGAAGGTAAACCTCTGGTTACAGTTCATACAGCTAGGAGCTTCAGAGTCTGGGACCCACGAAGGCTGTCTGCTCCCCAGCTCCTCCGGCCCGTCGCTACTCCAGCTCCCTGGTCTGGCAGGGTCAGCAGGTTGCTCTCCAGGATACGGCTGTGGCTCTGACAGCTCATCAAACCCCACAGAAAACTCGTGATGATCCTGATGGGTGTTTGTACAGTTGGATTCCCTAAAGTTAGGATGCTCTTCTGTAGGACTCGGGCTTATGGTTGAACTGTCCTCATCCTCTGCTGTTGGAGAAGCAGTTATGAACTGAGCCTGCTCTTCTCCTTCCTGTCCTGCTGGTGGAGGTCTTACAGTCTGGCAGGGCAGCTGTTTGGGTCTTGCCCCTCCATAGAAGGGCTGCTGATCAGGGCTACTGCTGTGCTGGGACTGCAAAGTGCTGCTGGTTAAAGAAAGGCTTACCCCAGATGAGTCGTGTGATAGTGATAAAGCACCACAGTTTAAACTTTCTGCTGCTGACGGAGAAGCTGTTCTGTCATTTTTTGGAGACACCAGTTCCTCTAAGTTTTCCAATTCATCTTGTCCACACCTCTGTGATTCCCACTCCTGAAGCCTGTCCTCTGAAACATAATCTGACTCTGGCTGAGAGTAATCTCCAGGACTGATGCAATAAGAAACACCTGCACCTTGCTCTGCTTCAGTGTGTGCCTGAAGGAAGGCGTCCAGCTCCTCATCTGTAACCAGCAGCTCAGCCTGGTCACTCTCAGGCAGATACTCAAAACCAAACTCAGGAGGATCCACGGGGCTGGGTTCTGAGCGGTCAGAGGAAAACCGGTCTGCAGGAGGCAAAGCAGCAGCAGATTCAAGAGAAACATGCAGATGTTCTAGAGATGCTCTGTGCTCTGAGATTTGGTCTGAATCAGAAGGGTTCTCTAAACAGGGAGTGTCCTGCTCTTTGCTGGCATCTCTGGAGGTGTCCCTGGGGAAGTCTTGTGTGTCATTCTTTGGTCCTAAGGCTGATAGGGCACCTGCCTCAGTGCTTGTAGAAACACCAGCCTCATCTCTCTGCATTGAAGCTGCCTCCAGATCATCTTCTCTGGTCTTTGAGTTCACAAGAGCTCCACACATTGAAACAGCTATCGGTAGACATGACAAGCTGACTGGTTTACTGTCTGAGGCGTCACATGGTCTACTTTCAGTAGATTCAGCTACAGCCTCATCAAAGACCTTATCTGACTGCACCTCCTCACTCACTGGTATCAATTCTTCAACCCTGTCTACATGTTCCGTTTCATGTTGGTCTACAGAGATTCCCACCACTGGTGTCTCTTTGGTGTCCTTCTCGTCCACATCGGCTGACTTGGTGGTCCTTGTTGGTGATGGTGAATCCTCTGTGACCTCAGCGGTTTTCTCTGCAGCTGCAGGAAGAACAATGTGTAGCAGGCTGAGCGAGGCAAAGTATCCACCGCTCAGCTCGATGGGGTCCAGACCCAGAAGTTCATCTGGTCCAACAGATTTTTGCTTATCCTGACCAGCACTGACGCTGCCGTCTACACTCTCCTCTGTCACCACGTGGCTAGTGAAGTCCACCAGCAGTGCCTCCTCCTCTATCTGCTGCTCTGCCAGGTCCAGCTCACTGAAAGCATCGTGGCTGTTTGTCCGGACCAGGATAGCTGAGCTGGCATCATTCACAAGGTCACACACTGGCTTCAGAGTCCGGTCTGGGCAGGGAGGGGCAGAGTTTTTTCCTGGTCTACAGTCCACAGAGGAGAGAAGATCCACCCCGGTGAGAGACTGACCTCTGGTCTCTCTGTGACTGTGGTTACTGGAACCATCAGAGCCACTGGTTGCAGAGCCGTAATAGAGAGAGTTAAGGTCGGGGAGGCTTAATGTGGCAGTGGAGGAGTCTGAGGAGAGATGCTGGGAGGAGGTGTGTGAGGAGGGCTTCGAGAAAACTGGCCTGCAATCTGGTTCCCCTAAAAAAAACAAAATAAAAATAAATAAAAGTTTAAAAGTGAGACTTGTTCCTTAAAAAAAAACAAGAACAAAATTAGACAAATCTTTATTTACAGGATGATAAAATTTGTGAAAAAAACAACAGTTTTGTGAACAGATGGGAAACGGTTGTTTAAAGGGTTTAGTGCAAAAGCAACATCTATTTGTACATCAAACAAAGAAAGGGTTCTGCATTTGAAGTGTCCTCCAGTCTTTAGGAATGCCTCATTTCTTGTAGTATGGGAATGAAAATAGTTCCGCAAAGTTTTTGTCCTGCTAATTGTAAAGCACGTTGAATTGAATCTGTGTTTGAAATGTGCTCTATAAATAAAGTTGCCTTGCCTTTTAAAACATCCATCCATTCTCAGCCTCTTATCTGGAGTCGGGTCGTGGGGGCAGTAGCGTAAGCACGAGGCCCAGACTTCCCTCTCTCTAGCTACGTGGGCCAGCTCCTCCGGGGGGATCCTAAAGCTTGGTTTATGCTTGACATGTCCTCGAGGTCCGGAAGGCCAAATTACATAATTTTAGCAACCAAGCCCCTCCACATTGCCTCCACGCGGCCCCAAGTTTCCACAATGCGCACCTAGGAAATGTTCTAACCACGCGGATGGTCCTGCACGGAAAAACATGGCGCACTGGCAAGCGAACGTAGTGGCAGAGGTTCGTAAGTACAGACATCTTTATGATTCGGTCCATAAAGAACACCATGATCAAAACATTGTTAATAATTGCTGTCACAGTCGGAAAAAAGAGGACACAGTGAAACAATGTTGTAAACAACAGTGATTTCTACTTCTACTATAGTGTAGTGTTGTAAGCATGCCGTATAGCCCCATGTCGCCCCCTACAGTATGGGAGAATATTGGCTTACAGCGGAGATAAGGCGCAGAGGGTAGGAAGGAACCATAAACGCTGCAAATTCCGATGCGCGTTTCATCCGCACATTTAATTTCCGCACGGAATGTACATGGTCAAGCATATACCAAGCTTAAGGTGTTCCCTGGCCAGCCGTGAGACATAGTCTCTCCAGCGTGTCCTGGATCTTCCTTTAGGTCTTCTCCCGGTTGGACGTGCCCGGAAAACCTCACCAGGGAGGCACCCAGGAGGCCCAAGCCACCTTAATTGGCTCCTCAACGTGGAGGAGCAGCAGGTCTACTCCGAGCCCCTCCCGAATGACCGAGCATCTTACCCTATCTCTAAGGGAGAGCCCAGACACCCTGCAAAGAAAGCTCATTTCAGCCACTTGTAACCATGATCTTGTTCTTTCGGTCGCTACCCAAAGCTCGTGACCATATGTGAGGGTAGGAACGTACACACTACAACGCCCGCATCACTGCTGTCGCAGCACCAATCTTCCTGTCGATCTCATGCTCCAACTTTCCCTCACTCATGAAAAAGACCCAGAGATTCTTGAACTCCTCCACTTGAGGCAGGACCTTATCCCTGACCCGGAGAAGGCATTCTACCCATTTCCAACTCAAGACCATGGTCAAGCTAAAGATTATTTTGCACAATTTCAGCAAGATTACAAATTAGTATTTCAAGAGAGCATCTGTATTCTTTAACATAGATGAACTCTCAGGTGAACTTTTGTGCTTTTCAACTTTGTTCCTAAAACAGTTTAGAAGGACAAACCAGTTTACCTCTCTGGATGTCACCTGCCTTTTTTTTTCTCACAGAGGTTAATGGCCTGTTTATGTTTTAACATACAACAAGTTTCTGGAGTAAAACCGACCTATAATCTTATCTTCGAGGATTCACATTAAATTCTTTAATTTAACACAACATTAACATCAAATCATGTTTTCTGTTCATCAGAACATCTAGCATCAACCATTTGATCTGGGATCGGTATTAAAAGCAACTTTTCAACCATAAACCACTTAAGTATTAAGGAAGATTACAGTTTTCGACAACATAAATCTGACATTACGTAAGAGCATTGCTATTTCTCACACCAAGAGCACAAATAGTTCTGTAGTTTTTAGTGAATTTTACATCAGACACAATGTCTTTTTAAAACAGAATCTGTAGTAAATGGTCAGGATTGTGCGTAGCTGTGTGTAGAAAGTAAGTGTATTTTTCTCTAAATCTGTTGGTCCACGCCTTTGTGCATGATGCATTAAGTTATAAACGTGTTCAGTGATTTATTTTCCTTTCCTAATATGTCAGAAAACTATTACCACTGAATGACAACAAGAGTGAACTGTGGATTGGAAACCTATAAATATAACCTATAACTTTCTATAACTGCATTTAAACCAGTGTTTCCCCTAAGAATTTTTCCAGCTGTGGGGAGATGAAATTATGACACGTCTCACCTTTATGTTAATATTGTTTTATTAGACGCACTCACTTTGAACTGCAGCAATCCAGCAATTGCTGCATTCAAATAACTAGTATTAAAGGTGAATACACCAATATTTGCACAAGAATACTTGTTGTTGGCATTAACTTTTTCTTGGCGTCTGGAAAAACATCACCAGGGCCTTGTGGTCTGATTACAGAATCATTTTAAATTTTAATAGGGAAAGACTGAAGGAGGGAGTGGTAAAATACAGGGGGTTCCCAGCAAAAACAAGAAACTTTATAAGTCTGATGAAACCCGCTGATTTTCCATCAGGTAGTCACAAGGCAGCTCCAACAAAAACAATTCATATGTAAATATTTATCATATTTATTGCAAAATCTCATTTATCTGCTGTTTTAATGCTGCAACAATGTTTTATTCATAAAAAATTATTATACTATTTGTTTTAGCCTACTACAGCATCGGTAAGCTTCCTGTGCACAGATTATTAAGGATGCTTGTTTCAGCTGTGAAATTAGATGACAGGGTCAATGATAAAAAAAAAAAGAAAAAAAAGAAGTTTGATCTCAGACTCCATGGAAACTTTCAGAGAATCCACAAATATTATCTTTTAAATGGTTTTGTTACGGACATATTTTTGTGAGTTTAGAAAAGAAGTAGATGAGATGGCGTGTCCGACAATTTTGTTTTTAACCATACCATACCACTTTATTTGTAGAGCGCTTTTAACACGGCATTACAACCGACCAATGTGCTGCACATAAAAACAAATAATAACAACACAAGCTAAAATAGTCGTATATATCATAAGAAGTAAAAAAGATAAAAGAGTTAAAAGGACAACAAACTAAAACCAATACCTGAATATAAAAACACAAATTTAAAATCGAACAAACAAGGTGGAAAAACTAAGAATGAGTTAATGCTTTATGGTTTGGGAGTTGAAGGCCAGGGAGAAGTAGTGGGTTTTCAGGCGTGATTTAAAACGGCAATAGAGGGTGCTTGCCTAACCTGAAGAGGTAATGAGTTCCACAATTTTGGGCACAGACAGAAAAAGCCCTTTCCCCGCGGGTCTTCAAACGTTCCTAAGGGACAGTTGAAAGGAGCTGATCTTTAGACCTAAGAGCACGAGGAGGGTGGTAGTAATGGAGGAGTTCACACAGATATGGAGGTGCCTGACTGTTCAAAGATTTGAATGCGAGAAGCAGAATTTTGAATTTGATCCTGAACTGAATGGGCAACCAGTGGAGTGAAGAGTAGGTGTAATGTGCTGTCTTCTGTCAGCTCCAGTCAGGAAACTTGCTGCTGAATTCTGGAAAAGCTGGAGTCTTGACAGAGCAGCTTTACTAATGCCATACAAGCAGGAGTTGGAATAATCAAGCCGAGAAGTGACGAAGGCGTGAATCACCGATTGTAGAAGACGGACACTCAGGATGGGCTTTAGTTTAGAAATTCGCCTGAGGTGGTAAAAGCAGGACCTGACTGTGCTATTGACCTGAGCATCCATCTTCAGAACCGGGTCTATTTTTATTCTAAGATTGGAAATAGCAGAAGTGACATTAGGAGACAGATAATGGAGGTCAGGTTGCTGGGTTGCTCGAACATTGTCGGGACTAAAAACGATTACCTCTGGTTTAGAGTCATTCAGATGGAGGAAGTTATCAGCCAGCCATTGCTTGACATAGTGAAGACAGAGGTTTAGTGGAGTCAGTCAATTTGACAGTCGTCTGCATACAGATTGTATGAAACAGCATGCTGTCTGAAAATGGCTCCCAAGGGCAGAATATAGAGGCAGAACAGTAACGGGCCGAGGATGGAACCTTGAGGAACCCCCAGGGAAGGGAGAGTGACTGGGATGAATAGTCATCCAGCATGACCCTGAGGGACCTGTTAGAAAAGTAAGACCTAAACCAGTCTAGGGCCAGACCGGAGATGCCAACCCAAGTTAGAGCCCTGCACGGGCCAAAAATCTGAGCCCGTGTCCGGCCCGGCCCGAGGGGGTGGAGCCCCAGCCCGACCCGGTCCGAAAAGGTTTTCAGGATTCTCTGGCTCGACCCGAGCCAGACTTTTTTTTTAACCAACTAAATGAAAACAAAGTGCGTCAATCCTGACCAATGTGTTAAAAGACGTGCAGGATCTGATCAATTTGTTTTTCTCTCGTTTACCGTCACGGAGATAACGGCGCATTGGCTCTGGTGGTAATCAAGTTAAATTTGATCTCTTTCCAACAATTTTCACAAGAAAACAAAACAGTCAAAAGCAGGGCTTGTGTTGACCGGATAGTTCCCGTATTTGACGGTTTATTTTGACGGAGAAAGAATAGAAAGAATTACCCCGACGCATGCAGACAAACTGACATTTTATTCGTTACACGCATCACAGATGTAGCTAAAAGATTCCCATCTGAACATCTGAGTTGGACACTGCTCAGCGCAGCTCACTGTCAGCGCATATGTGCACAGCGAGCTGAAGTTGTGGAGAATGGCTTGGAGCGCGTCGCAGAACCAGAGCGCATGCGGGAAGATTCCTCCCACTGAAGTGAGTGTTTTCCAAACCCTGTCGCTCAGAGAGACTTGTCACTGAGAAAATGTTCCCTGATTATGAAACTTTGGCTGAATAGTGCTTGTTCCTGTCTCCAATGTGGCGACGCATCCAGGAGCCTGTCTGAGGAGAATCCCAGAATATCTTCAGCTCAGCAAGTGCCTATGATCACGCACAAGTGTGACCCGTCAACCCGGTCTCACAGTAAGACTGGGTTGGGCCTGTTCAGGTTTACGCAGACAATCTTTACATTTAGAATTGGCATACAGATATAAAATTAATTCAGTAAAATATAAAGCATTTTATTTAAATATCCATTCATTAATTTACAAGCACAGAGAGCCGCATCGGATGGATGGAAAAGCCGCGGGTTGTGACATGTTTTCTCCAGGACCAGAAAGGATGCAAACTCAATACATCTCTTTTATTGTGAGGTAATAATTTCTCCGAGTTTTGCGGTTGCAGGCGGGAGTAGACATGCACGCTATGGGTGCGGGCGGGAGTGTAACACACACGTTGCAGTTGCAGGCGGTAATGGTCAGAAATTCAGCGGGAGCGGGCAGGAGCGGGATGAAGAAAACAGTCCCGCGCAGGGCTCTACTGCTGCGTTTGTGTTTCAATTTTTTTTTATGAATTCGATTAAAAATAAAGGCACCCGGCCCGGCCCGTGTCCGAGGTAATTACACAGTCGTTGGCCCGAAGCCCGGCCCGAGGGCCGTCGGGCCGGGCCAACCCGAGGGCCTAGGGCTTCAGTACAGGGCTCTAGCCCAAGTGTGTAGTCTAGAGATCAAGATGTTATGATCGATCGTATCAAAGGCTGCAGATAGTATCAGAACCACATGGAACCCTGAATCTAAGGCCAGAAAGATGTCATTAAACACACAAACATGCCCAGTCTCTTCTGTTTTGCCTTGGCTCCCAAAATGCCTTGAGACGGCCCTGGGTGAGTGACTGAGTTTTGAAGGTGACCTGAATTGTATCAAACATATAAATATTACATGTGTATAACTTATTGTGTTATACAGATAAAAACGTGTAGTGGAGATAAATCAGCCTAAATTTAACTTTTCAACTTTGTTTTCTTGTTTTTATTTAACAATTTTCCTGACCTGTCTGTCTCATCTTCCTGCACCTCCTCTAAACTCTCCAGAAAAACTGCTGCCTGGATTCTTACTTTTCACCTCATCAGTTACTTCTGAGGAGATCAAAGGGATCTCCTGCCCGCAAAGCGCAGTGCACGTTTAGATGCTGCATCAGTGAGGTGAAATCACAGCAGCACACAATGAGCGAGCGCGTCAGGAACGATTAAAAGACAGAGTACCAGAGGATATAAACAGATATGAACGATCATACGTTAATAATAATGTTTTGTTGCACCAACTTGAGAATGAACCGTGCGCCGGACGCAGCGGGCGCACCAACGATCAGTGCTCTGCGTCCTCTCCGCTCAACAGAATCCCGCTACGCTGAGAATCCATAAATATTGTAATATAGGTAGAAACTGGATCTTTCCCTGAAAGATATCTAGCCCCCCAAAACTCGATCCCTGCTCCAGGATGAAAAACCAGACATTTTGATCAATGTAGGAAACCCCCCCGGACAGAGAGTGAAAAGTGGACATGTCCGGGGGAAAGAGGACGTATGGCAGGGGGAGGAAAACCTGGTGGGCCGCCAAGCTAATGAGCACTGGGGGAAACCCTGCAAAGATTGTCAACACTCATTTATCTTAATGCTGTTGAATCATGTAAACCAAAAAGCATTATATCCACTGCTACCTTTCTAATTTGAATTCAGTAACGTATGCTGTAACCACCTTGCCCTGCCTCCTCCTCCTTGCTGCCTGCCACCTGTGATCACAAGTGACAACAGAGTAGTTCCCACTGCTTCTTCGGGAAACAGCGGGAAAAAAAACTTGGGATCTTGTAGGCATGGCGCTGGGATTTCAGCCGTGGCGGTCTGCCTATGCCAGGGAAACTGTAAACTAAATAACACCAACACAATGTTTTATTTGCCATAAAAGCCTCAACATCAGAAGTTACCAGATTTAAAGTTAGTGTAATATTTACATTAGACCATGTTAGTGAAGCTGTGTGGTGTAAGCCATCTTACCAGAATTGAGCTCAAAGTCATCGAGCAACTTGTCCAGATCACAAACAGCTGCCTTGAAGAAGTTGTCCATGCTGGGCTACAATAAAAGGCCCTCAGTATCTCAGATGCCTACAAAAACACAAATCTGTGTGTTAGACTGTTTTGGTTTTAGAGCTCATTTGTTAACTCTTTGAATGGAGGTACCGAAAGCCCCTTGAGGAAAGAGGATGCTAGTCTGTAAATTTCAAACTAGCAGAACAAATCTTTGACTAAGATTTTGGCATCTTTCATGTCAAACATTTTGTCAGGAAACACAATTTAAAAATATGGACAACCAACACAAGCTGATTTACTCTTTTTTTAGTGTAATGAGGGTTACAAAAAACACAAACCTGAAGTGGCTACTGTTTTTAAAGAAAAAAGCTTGTATGCTGAACAAAGTGTTAATTCTCTAAATCCTCACAGCTGTTTCATAGATGATTTGTTTACTTTATGATTTTTTATGAGTAAAGAGGTCAGTTCACACTGGTGAGTATATAGGTGCTGGCCAGTAAATTAGAATATCATCAAAAGGTTGAAAATATTTCAGTAATTCCATTCAAAACGTGAAACTTGTACATTATATTCATGCAATGCACACAGACCAATGTATTTCCAATGTTCATTACATTTAAATTTGATATTTATAGGTGACAACCAATGAAAACATCAAATCTGGTATCTCAGAAAATTAGAATATTCTAAAGGCCAATGAAAAAATGTTTGTTTCTCTAATGTTGGCCAACTGAAAAGAATGAACATGAAAAGAATGTGCATGTATAGCACTCAATACTTAGTCGGGGCTCCTTTTGCCTCAATAACTGCAGTAATGCGGCGTGGCATGGACTCGATCAGTCTGTGGCACTGCTCAGGTGTTATGAGAGCCCAGGTTGCTCTGATAGTCGTCTTCAGCTCCTCTGCATTGTTGGGTCTAGCGTATTGCATCCTCCGCTTCACAATACCCCATAGATTTTCTATGGGGTTAAGGTCAGGCGAGTTTGCTGGCCAATCAAGGACAGGGATACCATGGTCCTTGAACCAGGTGCTGGTGGTTTTGGCACTGTGTGCAGGTGCCAAGTCCTGTTGAAAGGTGAAGTCTGCATCCCCATAAAGTTGGTCAGCAGCAGGAAGCATGAAGTGCTCTAAAACTTCCTGGTAGACGGCTGCATTGACCCTGGACCTCAGGAAACAGAGTGGGCCAACACCGGCAGATGACATGGCACCCCACACCATCACTGACGGTGGAAACTTTACACTGGACCTCATGCAACGTGGATTCTGTGCTTCTCCGCTCTTCCTCCAGACTCTGGGTCCTTGATTTCCAAAGGAAATGCAGAACTTGCTTTCATCAGAAAACATAACTTTGGACCACTCAGCATCAGTCCAGTCCTTTTTGTCCTTGGCCCAGGCGAGACGCTTCTTGCGCTGTTTCTTGTTCAAGAGTGGCTTGACACACGGAATGCGACACCTGAATCCCATGTCTTTCATGAGTCTCCTCGTGGTGGTTCTTGAAGCGCTGACTCCAGCTGCAGTCCACTCTTTGTGGATCTCCCCCACATTTTTGAATGGGTTTGTCGTCACAATTCTCTGCAGGGTGCGGTTATCCCTAGAGCTTGTACACTTTTTTCTACCACATTTTTTCCGTCCCTTCGCCTGTCTGTTAATGTGCTTGGACACAGAGCTCTGCGAACAGCCAGCTTCTTTAGCAATCACCTTTTGTGTCTTGCCCTCCTTGTGCAAGGTGTCAATGATTGTCTTTTGGACAGCTGTTAAGTCAGAAGTCTTCCCCATGATTGTGGTGCCTTCAAAACAAGACTGAGGGACCTTTTAAAGGCCTTTGCAGGTGTTTTGAGTAAATCAGCTGATTAGAGTGGCAGCAGGTGTCTTCTATATTCAGCCTTTTCAGAATATTCTAATTTTTTGAGATACCAAATTTGGAGTTTTCATTAGTTGTCACTTATGAATATCAAATTTAAATGTAATGAACATTGGAAATACATTGGTCTGTGTGCATTGCATGAATATAATGTACAAGTTTCACGTTTTGAATGGAATTACTGAAATATTTTCAACCTTTTGATGATATTCTAATTTACTGGCCAGCACCTGTAAGTGAGATGTACCAGGTAGTTTATGGTCATGACTTGGTGAGCCGTTACATGCACCAAGTTTGATGTTAAAGCACCCATTAGGTGGGGAACTTTGCTGTTATTTCTGCTGGTTGTGCACCCTTAGGTACCGTGATGTGTGATTAGAGTGTTTTTAAAACATCAGTTTAACTTGATGAAATGCTAGGAAAAAAAACTCCAGTTGAAAAAGTAAAACTGGTACGTTGAAACAGAGTAGCTGTTGGGTAAGAGTAAAGTACTCCCTGTATGAATTCCTCTAGTGCCATTCCTGCTGTGTGATGGTATTGTTTTCTCAGTATCATCACAGAGAGCGGAACGTGTCACTATAACTGGAGCAATGTTAATGGTAAAACCTGCATAAAATATGAGACAATGATTTGCCCTAAGGCTGTATTTTAAATGAGTACAACCAGTATTTTACTGTCGGTTTCAGATGCTTAAAATGAGACAATATGATTGATAAGTTTGTATTTCTACAAAGATTTAATGAGCTGTGCCCAGTCTCACATCCCCAATCACCTCATGTCGACAGTTAAAATTTGGACCTGTAGAGGTGGGTGTTATATCAAATATACTCGATGCATTACATGTTTTTGGACATACGGTGGTTAAAATAGCTTTACCACAAGCATCAAGTATAAACTGTCATAGCAATATTAAGCTGTGTGAGTCTAATTTGTTAAAACGAATAATAAACTCCCACACCATGCCAATGCATCACAAATCCCCCTCCCAACCAGAAAATGTTGTGCCTAGCACAGTGACGACAACACCCCTATGAGCGCGCTCCAGCCAGGTCACATGTCTTTCTTCGCTGACTATGTAGCGTGCATGTTGAAAAGAATTAAAAGAATATGGTGACAGCGAGAGTTTCGGATGAGCAAGCGAGAACTTTAGCAGTCAGATGAGCTAGTTCCGCAGAAGAAAAGCACTGGATCAATAATCTGGCAGTGGTCTGGATTTCACAAGACTAGCTTTTTCCCTGAGGACCAAAAAGCTGAGCTAATTGCCCAAGGACTGCAAGAAACTCTCACATCCTGGAAGTTAGCGGAAAGTCGCCAGGACTGCATCACCACGGACAACGGGAGCAACATCAAAGCAACGAAGCTGATATAGCTGAATCAATTTCCCTCTGGGATTAATAAAGTATTTTTGAATTGAATTGAATTTAATTGAATGGTGGACCGGGCTGTAGTGTTCTGGCCACCAGTTGCACCTTGCAATTGGCGAGTATCATCATCATTTATTTATTTCCAACATGCCAATAACATCACAATTAACAACAGGATATAAATCAATAATAATTCAAGTTGACATCTTGGTTTTTGTTTACAGGAAAATAATAATAATATTAAACATTACATTTCTGAAGTTGTTTAAAATATCGGGATATATCTCAAATCGTGATATTGCAAAAAAATTATCGGGATATTAGATTTTTCTCATATCGCCCAGCCCTACCTGGGTGTTGTGTTCACATGAATTATTCTGAGGTCAAAGCCCAGAAATGTTAGAAAGGGTTCCCACTGCCTATAAAAGTCAGAAGCTGTGAACAGAAGAACTCATATTCTTCAGAAGAAGAAAAGATCTTTTCTATAGCGCCTCTCAAGATAAAAATCATGAGGCGCTTCACAAAAACAAAACATGTAAAAATATAAAAAACAATTTAGAAAATGATTAAAAATATATTCAAAATGAGCAAAAAATAGACAATAGTAATTAAATTTTTAAAGAGAGAGAGAGTGAATAGGAAATAGGGAAATCAGTGGATCCTAAGGAAGGTGGAATAGGTAGGGAGAGCAGAACAATGGGAGGGGGATGAAGGTCACACAAAAGCCAGCCTGAACAGGTGAGTTTTCAGCTGCTTTTTGAAGGAGACCACTGAGTTCACTGATCTCAGGCTCAGGGGGAGAGAGTTCCAGAGTCTGGGGGCCACAGCAGCAAACGATCTGTCACCTTTGGTCTTTAGCCTGGTGCTGCACAACCAGTAGGCTTTGATCACTGGACCTCAGGGACCTGCTGGGGGTGTAGGGACTAAGAAGATTGCCACTGTAAGATGGTGATTGTCCATGTAAGGCCCTATAGACCAGAACCAGAATCTTGAAATGAACCCTGAAGTTGACTGGCAACCAATGAAGCTGGATGAGTAACTGGGTGATGTGGGTGTGTTTGGAGGACTTGGTCAGAAGCCGAGCACAGGCATTCTGAACCACCTGTAGACGGTTCAGGGAGGTTCTGCTCAGACACGTGAAAAGAGAGTTACAGTAGTCTAAGCGTGAAGAGATGAAGGTGTGGAGAACTGTCTCAAGTTCAGAGCGAGACAGAATGGGACTCCGCTTAGCAGTGTTCCTGAGATGGAAGAAGGAAGAGCGAACAAGAGAACTGACATGAAAATCCGGGGTGAGAGCTGGGTCAAAGGTCACGCCAAGATTCCTGATGGAGGGTTTGGTGTGAGAAGCAAGCTGATCAAAAGAGTCTCTGACTTTGGGAACCAGTTTGTCTGGGGCACAGATGAGGATCTCAGTCTAATCTCCATTCAGCTGAAGAAAGCTCCCAGCCATCCAGGTTTTGATAGAGTCTAAGCAGGTGTGTAACAGCTGCAACTTAGACATCTCATGGGGCTTAAAGGAGATGTACAGTTGGATGTCATCTGTGTAAAGATGGTAGGAGATTCCTTTGAAGGAGCTCAGGATGTGCTGAAGAGGAAGCAGATAGAGGAGGAAGAGTAGAGGCCCCAGCACAGAACCTTGTGGGACACCATGGGTAAGAGAGGTGGTGGAGGACCTAAACTTGGGAGACGGCCACAGAAAAGAAGTGCTCAGAGAGATAAGAGGAGAACAACTCCAGAGCAGTTCCTGATAGGCCTACCCAGTCTCTCAGCCTCTCCAGTAGCAGGTGATGGTCAACAGTGTCAAAGGCTGCCGTCAGGTCCAGCAGGACCAGAACAGTCCCCTGCATCACTGTGAGTCAGAAGGTCATTGGAGACCCTAAGAAGAGCGGTTTCAGTAGAATGAGCTCTAGGAAAACCTGACTGGAAGCCATCAAAGATGTTGTGTTCATCAAGAGCAGCTGTGAGTCGTTTAGCCACAACCTTTTCTAAGATCTTGGAGATGAACGGAAGTTTAGAGATGGGTCTGCAGCTGCTATGGAGAGAGGGGTCAAGACTCAGTTTTTTAAGAAGCGGGTGGATTACAGCGTTCTTAAAGTAAGCAGGAACCTGACCAGAGACCAGAGAATAATTAATTATAGAGAGCACGCTGGGACCGATGGACTGAAAAGCACTTTTAAACAAAGATGAGGGTAAGATGTCGAGGGGGCATGCAGAGGTCTTCATAGAGTTAACTAGCTTGGTTAACTCAGGCAAAGAAACAGGAGCAAATCTATCTAGGATGACAGATCGGGTTGGAGCCGGGAGAGGCAGAGATAAGGCTGAGGGAGAGATGCTAGATCTGACCTTATTGACTTTGTCCACAAAGAAAGACAGAAGTTTTCACAGTCTGCAACAGAGTGGATGGAGGCTGTAGGAGAGGCAGGAGAGACAATGCTGCTGATGGTGTTAAACAGCACCTTGGGGTTCCCTTTGCTCTGGGAACCCTTGCGTCTCTGACTGCAGAGTTAAAGGATGTCAAAAGATCCTTTAGGTGCAGCAGATGGACATGGAGATGGGTTTTCTTCCACAAGTGCTCAATTTTTCTGCATTGGCGCTTCAGGCTGTCATTAAACCAGGGAGTAGGGTTCACTGCAGGAACTGATCTGGTTCTGACAGGACAGATATTGTCCAGAATGGAGAGGCAGTGCTGGTTAAACTGAGAAGTTAAGGAGTCTGGGTCGTTATCAGAAGAAAAATTGCTAGCTGTGCTCTCGTTAAGAAAACGAGAACTAACCATACGGCGAGCAGGAGGTGGGGACGCAGAAACTGACAAGTTAAAAGAAAATGCAATGGTGATCAGAAATATAAACGTCCTCAGGACAAACACTGTCAGCATTTAGACCCAGGGTAAAAACAAGGTCCAGAGTGTGTCCCCTGGTGTGTGTGAGGCCAGAAAAATGCTGGGTAAAGCTGAAGGTGTCCATGAGACTGGAGAAATTCATGGCGAAGTGGTCTGAGGGATCATCAACGTGGCTGCTAAAGTCACCAACAATCACCAGTCTGGACAGCTTCACAGTAGAGGATAGAAAGTCACTAAACTCCTGAAGGAAAGATCTGTTTGGACCAGGTGGATGATAGACCACAGCACAGTAGAACGGGTCCTTACCCCTGACTTTAATCAGCTGCAGTTCAAAGGAAGCAAAGTGACCAGAGGTTGTAGAGCTACATGGAAGATGATCTCTGAAAACAACAGCTAGACCTCCACCACGACCAGAACCCCGGGGCTGGCTAAAGAATGAATAACTACTCGGGCAGAGTTCAATCAGACCAGAATAATCAGATGTTTGCTGCCAAACTTCAGTCAGAAGCAGGTCTAATACTTCATCCTAAAAGACATCCCAGATGTAAAACAGAACGCTACCGTAGGTCATTCATCCCCTCTGCAGTAAGAGTGTATAACTACTCAGTTTAACTGGTACTGACATTATCCTGTTAAGCCGGGCGTACACTGTGTGACTTTTTCACTTTTTTGAGCCAATTTTCCAGTCGTGCGAGAATCCACGACATCGGGGCGAGTTTTGCGCCGAGCGGTCGTGTAGTGTACAGGGGGTTACGAGAGGCGATTAACACCACGTGACCAGCTGCCGATCAGCAGTCGTGAGGTCACACGGACTTCTGGCGTGTGAGGGTATCGCACTGTTGAAGCGACGCTGCGAGCAGCTGCGACCCAAAAAGTATCAGAACCGCTCACGGCGCATGCGCAATCCTGCATCAACGCCGCTTGCTATTTCCCAAATAACACACGTTGTTCGTTTTTGTTTCTACACGTTTTTTTTACTCACAAAGATTGTCAAGAAAACGTGTTTGTCGTGTTCATGTCAAATTAAACTGATCACAAAACACAGATTTACTTTCATTATTTCGTTTTCCTCATCCAACCCCCAAAAATCCCTGTGTGTCCTCCTGCAGCACTCCCGAAGGACAACAGGCAAAACAAGACAAAAAAGTCTGACGTGTTGTGTAATAACTGCTATTTTTAGCATATTTTTAGGGCCGACGTGTTGCTACCAGACGTACAGTGTGAGCAGTCAGGTTGCATGCGAGAACTGGGTCGTGCAGTGTGAGCGCCTGGCTCGTGAGATCTGCTCTGCGAGGAAGTCGTACAGTTTGAGCTGAAGCTGAACGCTGCGAGTGAAAAAGTCGCACAGTGTACGCCCGGCTTTACACAATAACATCAATGCAATATTCAGTATGTGTCCAATACTTATGCAATACCTGATGTTAGGGTTGGGCGATATGGCCTAAAATCAATATCACGATATTTTGAGGATTTCACCTCGATAACAATAAATGGACGATAACTACAGGTATGAGCAGAAACAAAAGTTGTCCACTAGATGGGGCTGTCACGTGTATTACGTTGAGTCATATTTTTATGTGACACACGGTGGTAAAGCTTCTTAAAGGGACATGAATGTTGCCAACCTACACACAGCTTTTCCTTTTTTATTATCAAATGTTTCTACATGGGAAAATGTATCTCGATAAGAGTCAGAAATTTCGATAACAATAAATTTTCGATTTATTGCCCAGCCCTACCTGATGGACATGTCTGTGTCCCCGATGTTGCATAGTTCTAGAAACCAAGTTTCCTTTTTATTTGTTGATTTTAGTGGTTGAAGGTTACAATAATAGCTTATTGCCTTTGTGTGTTATCCTGTAATCTTGCTATTTTCTTCTTCCTTTTCTCTAAGTGCATGTGCTGCTGTAGCAAGAGGATTTTCCCACTTTGAGATCAATAGTCTATTCTATTGTAAATGTGAAGTGTAGCTGTTTAACAACCTGTACAACAAACCAGTTTCACAACAAACATGCTTTTCTTAGTCATGTGATTTACCTTTCATCACCAATTGTCTTTGAAATATTTCTTCCAAAAGTTGAATCACTTCCACCAACCTAAGAGGAATATCAAGTAACGCAACAATCAGACTGTTGTTTCAACACGAGGAACGCCTCCTGCATGACCTCATCAGGAGATTAAATACCATTACACCAGCCCTGATTGGCTGGCATCGGTGACGTCTATGACAGGAATAGCCAGACCCTCACCCTATAAATAGGGCTGGCATAGCATCACAACATACGTGGGAAAATATTGCTACTTAGTGCGTAGCTAGTCAAGATGAGTATACTTCCGAATGGTTGGGAAAAAAACGGACAGTGAATGAGTTGTGCACCCAGTCTGTGGACAATTAAGCTTGGCACCCAGTGGTACAGTTGCTCACAGGCTTCTGAGAGAAGCAAGAAGAGGAATTTGAATGACGAGTGATGCCATGCCAACCCTTTAGGGTGAGGGTGTGACTCCTCCTGTTTTGCCAGCCAATCAAGGGCGGTGTAATGATATTTAAACTTCTAACAAGGTCACAGGAGGCGTTCCCCATAGTGAGACACTCACTCATGCTAATCAGAGAACCGGGATTATAGTCTTAACCTTGAGTTTCTTATTAGAGCCACAAACACAAGGAACAAATTAATTCATGAGCATGAAAGCATTATTAAAAGTTATAACTTAAAAGCAAACTATCTAGATAAAAAATTTACACATGAAACTAACAGAATTGAGCATTTTCCACTAAAACCAGAACATTTAGTCAGATACACTTAAAATTGTTAGAAATCTGCTAAATCTCCAACACTGAAAATGTCTTACTGTGGATCATCTTTAAGAAGTTCTTCAATTTTTACACTAAAAGCAATTAGGTTTACCTGAACAATCTGAAGTAATGCCATACTTTGTTCTTTTTTTTTTTTTTACACAGCTTAGTAAAAATATTTTATTACCTTACATGTTTTGGCTTATCACTCCAGCCATCATCAGAGTTCGCCGGTGTTGGGGATGTCACTTCCAATAAAACGCAGGCAGAAGAGGGCGACATCGTGACACCCCCAACACCGGTGAACTTTGATGATGGCTGAGGTCATTAACATGAGGTCAAAACATGTAAAGTAAAAGAATATTTTTTACTAAGCTGCGTAAATAAAAGAACAAAGTAATAGGTTATGAAGTTACACACAGAATGAATGTACAAAAGACAATCTGAAGTTATGTTTTACTTTGCTTTCTTGTGGATGTATAATTGAAGCTTTGCTTATGTGAACCAAGTCAAAAAATTGTTTAGTAAAACCTCATTATTTTAGGGTTAGGGGATTTATGCCTAAAAAAATTAAAGAACTTTTTAAAATTGATCCACAATGAGATTTTTTTGTGTGTAAAAACATAAACCCAGATATGAGATTACTGAGGATAAAAACTGATCAAACTCTATAGAAGAACATCTTCAGTAGGACTAAAATAACTCAACTGAAACAAAGATCTTTCTAAAAATACCACCGCTGACATTCCTCTGATTGAACAGGTTCTTCTTGAGGAGTGGAAAGCAGTTTCATTTTAAAATAATATTTAATGCTTTAAAATACCAGTGAACTCTTTGGACAAGCAAAATTAAGTCCTCATATCTTAACTGAAATTTTTAACTACAAATAAATATAAGGAGAATAGTCTAAAATCAAATGTAAATGTTGGAATAGAAAATATTAAACATTAAAACTATCAGAACACACTTCAAAATATCTGCAGTTTTAATTAGAAAACTGATCTGAATTATTGTTTTCCTGTAGTTAAAGCAACCGCTCTTCAACTAAAAAGGTTGTTGTCACAAGTTCAACATTAACTTTGTGGTGATGCTTCTACTTTCCACAGAAAGTCAGTTCACCATTTGTCACTAAGTAACCAAGTTTCTATGGAGAATAAATATTTCTGGGGGAAAGGAAGTGAACATTACAGTTAATCGTAACAGAATGAAGTAAATGGAATGTGTTGCCACAGCTTCTTTTAAAAGGTTTCAACTAACAACACTCTAGTTAATGTTAGGCGTTTACTAATAATACAGACACTGAAGGGTGTGTGGTTGTGTTCATTGTCAGGTGCAAAAACATGTAAAATATCCTAATTAAGCAGTTTTAGGCTGTTCTTTTATTTACGGTATATTACACTCCATATTTGTTGTTTGGACAGATGTTTTCACATATATCAGTACACTATATCTTGTCAGTAGTGTTCTCTTTTTAAATAAGTGTGTTTAGTAACTGTAAAATTGTGTTTAAAACTAAATGAAATGGAAAAATATAGCTCACAACTGCCATCTTAATGTTAACCCTTTATCGCCTATTAAACGTCGTTTATTGTTCTCAGTGTGAAGACAATTAATCGGTATTTTCACTACATTAATAAACACGTTAACCAAAACGTTACATGCAGAACCTCAGCCAGAAACATAAGCATCATTTTACAACAACCCAAATTCATAATTATCCTTAATGCATCTCTGCCGCTAACACATTACCTGCCTTTAACTCACCCCCTTAACAAGAAGGTGGTAGACAATAAACACGACTAAGTGAAGAGTGTGTAGCTAGTTAGCCCGTTACTGTGGGTAATACGAGGCTAACGCTAATAACTCCCTGTGGGTAACCCGGACTGTTGGTTTTTCTTACCTTTGACGGCTTTTTACTCCATGACCTCAACAGTCACGGACTTAAAACGTAAAGCCAAAACGAACATCGCCAGTGTCGCCGTTTAATTATCCAAACATTTAGCTGAAGTTGTTCAAGCAGCGAGCTGTTGGATTAGTTTCACTTGAGAGGTGTAAATTCTTCACTCAGGCGGCCATCTTGGACGGAGTATTGGTATTGAGGTCATTGTATCGGAACACCTGGAACTGCTCGGTTTCAGGCTAGAAGCTACATAGCCCTCAACTTTTCCTGAGCTATAAACAGCTGTTATTAACCCCATTTGCGCTTACGGTTCTTCTCTAAAGCAAACGCAGTCATTTTAACCAAACACATAACGCATTACACAAGACAGGAAATTATAAACGTAATGTGTCAATAATAAAAATTATTACATCGGAAATAAATGAAACTGAGAAAGTAAAACAAGACACATAAACACGTGACCCTATTTCGGAACAAGTCCGCTTTAAATCTAGCGTTGCTATGGCTATATAACGCATAAAAGGCGAAATAACTTCTTAAAACTAAAAAATCCGAGGTGAACATGAAGCCATCCCGGTGAAATTGTTTGGCAGGCTTATGTATCACATAATTAAATCCAAAACTGTATGTCTTCTTTACAGTAGATATTCAAATTAAATAAATGACATTATTAGCTGTGCACATTCCTGTACACAAAAACCAACATCCCTTCTAATTTAAAGTCTCTACAGACAAAGAGTACTAATGGACAAAACAAAGTTCAATTTAAAAAGTTCTGCAATTAAAATGTTTTGCAGATTCCCATGATTCAATACTTCCTATTCACTTTCAAAAATGTCTATTCTTGAGTTTTTTTATCCATAAAATTAAATATATCTTAAATATAATTGTATCTAAGGGGGGAAATGGCAGTCTCCATTTATGTGTTGGGCTTTGCTTAGTATTACATATAGCAATCTATGTGCAATATGAAAAATGCAAGCTTCTCTGTCTAGAGCAGGGGTCACCTGGTGCACCATGGTGCCCCAGCAACCACAAAGTGCTCACAGACCTTTTCACCAAATGGCACAAGTCTAACATAAAATTTAAAACAAATCTGCTGCCATCATTTTAATATCAAATGTGTTAGATTTTAAAACTACAATTTTCTTAAAAAAACATTAAGATATGTTTATTATTCAAGAAGTTTGGTTTAACTTTGATCTATTCTAGTTCAAAGGTCAGTTTTGTATCAGCTTGGAAGCCCTTCAGATGGCTCAGTACCCATGAAATTGCTCCCAGCTTCACAAAGGTTGACCCCTGATTTAGACCATCAGCAGCCAGCTTGTCTCATCTACAGAAATTCAGAAAAACACACCAACCACAGATTCAGACTCAACAGCACAAGAAGCTTCAGAAAACTAAAGACATTGAATCGAGCCAAAGTTTAACATGTCCATGTGGCATAGATACAGAAGAAATAAAAGCAAAGATAGCAGCTATTTTAGACTCAATCAGAGCCAAGAAGGAACTGACAACTGAACACATCTCATTCCTGCAAAACTACAGTTAGAGTAGAAAGAGTCCAGTGCTGCCCCCTGCTGGAGGACCCACAACAGCCCTCAGGAGCTCTGACCCCGGGTTTCCACGGGAGCCGTCTATGGCATTTAAAGCGTGCCACAACCCGTGCACGCGCATTGGGTCCACAGCGCGCGTGTGAACGGGACTTGCGAGCGCAAATATACATGGCAGCGCGCGTGTGAACGGGACTCGCGAGCGGAAATATACATGGCGAGAGGTCATTTGTGCACTGAGAGGGAGCAAACTGTGTCTGTGAGCGCACAAGGATGTGCACAAGTGACAAACCTGCGTGCGTACGTTGTCAACGAGCACACGGCAGAGGAAAACGTGCGCGCGCGGCAGCCTCTGTGCGCGCTCGGCAGCCTCTGTGCGCGCTCGGCAGCCTCTCTGCGCGCTCGGTTTCTGACTCCTGCTCGCTCGGCTGTAAGGGCTTTTGGCACTCTGGAGGCGTGGCCTGTGGCAGATCTTCTCTGTCCTCTGATTGGTTAGTTTACCCCGCACTTTACCCTCTATCTATATAAAAAAGTCCGATATTCAGTAGTTGCTGGCATGGCGCTCCCCGACTCCTGTGCGACGAACAAAATCTTGGTAGTGTGATCCAATCACGAGGCCTCCTGCTACCAAGATTCTACCAAGAATTAGTAGAGACGGCCAATCACGACGCGCCCTGCTACCAAGATTTGCCTGAGCTACAGGGTCGTTGGCCAACCACAAAGAGCCCACCTCCAGCTACAATGGACGAATCACAGTGGAGGAGTGCCGGTCAGAGACTCAGGTAAACAGTTGTTTATTACAGTATCATTGTGGGGGATCGTTCTCAGACAGTGGAGAGGGACATCAAACTTTTCGTTTCGCCATCGCCATTTTGATTTTTTATAAACTCAGAGCTAGCTTGTGGTAAGTTTCGTACTTGTCCCGTTGTGAAAAGTTTTAAATTACAACTGTATTAGCTTTCTTACCACCCGGGAAAACGTAACGTTATTTTATTTAATCTTTTTTTCTTTCTTTCTTTCTTCTCCTTAGTCATCGTGCTTAGTATAGCATCTTGCCAACGGACTACAGTTTAAAATGAACCTGCTGGCTAACACTGGCACATTTACAGAATTTTTTATTAATGTGCACGGTCCTTAAATAAATAAATGAAATGAAATAAAATAAAATAAATCGCTATACTTATACCGAGTTTAAGTATAACCTTATTACTCGTTTTGTTCATGAATGAATGAATGAATGAACTCATTTTTGTCATTATTCATTGTTTGTAGAATATTGAACATTAGTAAAAGTACTTTTCACAGTCGATGCAACTGAAAAGTGTGTGTGTGTGTGTGTGTGTGTGTTTGTGTGTGTGTGGGTGTGTGTGGGTGTGTGTGTGTGTGTGTGTGTGTGTGTGTGTGTGTGTGTGTGTGCGCGTGCGTGTGTGTGTGCGTGCACATGTGTATGGTTGTGAAAGAGTCAAAGATGACAGAGTTTTAGAGACCTGATTTGAGATTTATCTCTGTAAATGCTTGCCTAAAATCATAGCATCCTTTTTTTAATGTGTTTATTTCCATGATTATGGAATTAAAATGTTTCATTGATCTGATTTTAATATTGTCTTTCTTTTTCTCAAGTATGGTGGAAAAATGGACCCTAAATTTAGGAAGAGAGTGGATGGCAGCACTAACTTGGTTGACTCACAAGCTGCAATGGAAGTCAAGAAGGAGAGGAGGCCATGGTTTAGAGCTTCATCCCCAGAAAAGGTGATGGAGTCTGCAGAGAAGTCTGTCCTCCGTGTTGGTGGAGACAAAAGCAACCCCATCCATGTTCTCAGCCAGTGTGAACTACAGTTTGGGATTTTCCGTGGACAGACATTCAAGTGGGTTGCCGAAAATGCCCTGGGCTATGCAGGTTATCTGGTTGCATCCATGTCAAGGGAAGACTTTGAGAAGAAGGATTCCAGAAATCATTCCGAAAACAAAAAGGCTTTCCGGAAATACATTGAACATTTTCCTGAAGGTCGCTTTGCCATTCGAGTTAAATCAGCCAGCCTTACAGAATCTTCTGGTACTGCTAGCTTGCTAACAAGTGATCAGCCAGCATCCACATCTTCCACCTCCAGCGCTGCATCTACCAGGACTCTGTCCTCCCACCCTGCATCTCTCAGTACACCATCCACCAGCACCTCAGCCAGCAGCACAGTGTCACAAGGCACATCTTCTGGGAGCGGCCTTTCAAGAGCTCAGAGCTCATCCTTGCTTTCACTGTTGAACAGGAAAACATGTACACCACGGACCTTGCAGACCACAGTGAAGAATCTGATTTCTCCCAAAAAGATTCCTACTAGTAAGTAATCAATGAGCAACATTTTAAGGCACAACACATTATGATATTTTTCATCACACGCTGTTTATAAAAATATTTTTCCAGTTGTTCCAGATGTGACCTGTGCTGTGTCAAGTGATGTGCCCGACGGTGAGATGGTTGCTGCAGCAGAACAGATGGAGTCAGAAATGACACGTAGGTTATACAGTTTTGTGTTAACTTAGAAAGATCTTTTAGATTTATGTGAGATATTGACAGTATTTAATGACATTATGTTTACTTTTTATTTTTGTGACTTGCTTACAGAGAGGAAAGTCTGTCTTCCTGCCAAATGGATTCCAGCGCTGCCTGTGGAAGATCAGCAGTGGATTTCAAAAGCACTCTTCAAGTGGTCCAGGAATGGACAACCAGAGCTCAACCTCCTGAAGCTGGATAAACTGTGGTGGCACCCTCCTGACCCACCACTTGTTCCCCACGGCCTGCCAGCAACAGAGAGGTACTTTGGCCACTCCCTGTTTCTTTGGATGCCCAGAAAACTTTGGCGGGTGAGACTGGTTTGTCCACATCCTGATTGTGGCAAAGAAGAGCTGACCTCTGCAGGACTGCATCAAAGAGTTCGGCAAGTTGTCAGCATGACCACATCATATTTTATTGCTGCAGAGTACCTGGCATGCAAGGGCTGCAAACGGAAAGTCATCAGCTGGAGCAAAGACATTGTGTCTCAGCTAGATGTAGGACATCAGATCCAGTTTCCCTGTCTTCTCACATCCAAACTTGGATGTGACATGGGAGTGGTCCGCCAGATGAGACAGAGGGGCCTTGGAAACAGCAGCAGCCAACTTCAAAAACAGCTGGAGGAGCAGCATGCAGAGACATGGCTTCAGAAGTCCATTCTTTTCATGTCTCACCAGAGAGGCTTTGCCAGAGCTGCATCCACAGGTTTGGTTGAGCCTCTGAATTTCGGAGAACTGCCAACGCTGTTGACTGTTCCAAAACACCGCTGGCTGATGCAAGTCTACGCGCAGGATGTGCTGAGCAGGTTAGACGAAATCAAGGCTTCCATCACGTCAACCTTTGGGCGTGTCCTGAAAATAGACTCCACTAAAAAAATTGTCAGGAAGCTGGCAGGACACAGCCGTGGAACGGCAGCATGGGCCACAAACATGGGGAACGAGCACGGCCAGATCATCATGTCTGTACTCACAGTGAGCGAAGGTCATGGGTTAGGCAAAATGGTTGAGGGAGTCATTAAGCGCTACCACGATGCAGGAGTGTCGCCTCCAGAAGTGCTGTATGTCGACCGGGACTGCTGTGGGTCTTCTCATCTCCACAAAATGATCAGGGCGTGGCAAAACACCAGCATTTGCTTGGACATTTGGCACTTCATGAGGAGGATTGCAGTGGGCTGCACCACCGACTCTCATCCACTTTATGCCGGCTTCATGAACAAACTGAGCCACTGCATTTTCATGTGGGATGACCGTGACCTGCAAGCTCTAAAGGAAGCCAAGCGAGCTGAACTGGAGGCCAAGTTGTTGCACCCCACAGATGCTGATCTGCTGCGAAACATCAGCAGAGCTGAGATGGCACGTCACTGCAAAAGGACAACCAGAAGCAGCTCAGAGATGGAGACCTTGATATCTGGATCTGATTGAGGCCTACAGCGGGCACAAGGGAGGCAACTCATTGGGAGTTCCGCTCATCAATTCAGAGAGAATGGCAGAGATATGGAAGGCTCAGAAGAAGCACCTCAGCTGTCTCCAGGACCCACCAGGAGTACTCCTGTACATGGAGACTGGCACCATCAAGAAGGGGGGGCACATTCTGAAAACCTATCGATGTGCAAGAGGCTCCACTTCCCTCGAGTCCTTCCACCTGCACATGAACAGGTTTATTCCTGGTAAGGGAAAAGCACTTTGTCCTCACACACTTATCCATGGGTTTTTCTTCATGTTCACAACCCATTTAAACATATTTATGAATATTTTTCAGGAACACTGGCAAGTGACACCTTTTTTCAGGCGTACATGTTGGATGGCTTGGCCAGGTGGAACGAAGACCGGAGCATGTCAGCAGAAGGAAGATCAGAGCCTCACTCCTACAGCGGCCTCCTGAGGCATGCTGCAAACCAGCTGTCACAGGAAGTTCTCGGGAAGAGCTGTGTGAATTACACAGGGCCACAGGCGTACACAGGTGTGTTAGCAGAGCTGATGCACCAGTCAGAGGAGACGGAGTTCAGCTTTGACCAAGCTCTGATTAGATTAATATTTCATGCTAGCTAATTAAAAGTCAACAATGTGTTTGTTTGCTGAAATTGTGTCATGACAGTGAGTTAGTTAAAACAAACGTTAATTAAAGTTAAAGCTGATTTTTGATTGCTTTCAGGGGAACTCATTGGGGTCGAGTATCTCTACGACCAAACAGGAGATGTTCTTGAGGACCGCAGAGTGGCAATTGCAGCTTTGGAGACAGAAGACGTAGCTGTGGCAGAAGATGAGGGCTTTGAAGAGTCTGAGGTTTTTGTGGATCTCACAGTTCCCATCTTGGAAACCACGCTCCAGACTCCTCAACCTGCCTGTTCACATGACTTCATGACATCACCTGCATCTGAACCCTTCCTAGAGATACCAGCTGTGGAAGTTAAACATGCTCCTGTGGATGACCTGGAAGAAAGTGAGTGATGTTCATGCCCAAATATCACATAAATGGGAAAGTCAAGATGGTTTCTTTTATTATGTAAAGTGACATAAGTGACTTTAGAACCAGGCTACTGATTAATTTTGTTCTATAAACCTGTGTCTGAAAGTGTGTGTGTGTATGTGTGTTTAATAAAAGGTTTTGATATTTATGTTTAGCTGCATCTCCATCAAGGCTGCCTGATTTCCACTCTGATGACACTATTCCAGGGACATCAAGGAGACAGGTAAGTTAGATATGATTTGGCTACTTTTGCCCATTTTTTTTTTATAAGTACGTAATAAACTTATCATTTAGGACTCCGTTGGCCCCGACAACACCGAAGCTTTCACAGCTGTGCAGGATTTGGCTGAAGCACTCTTCAATCTGAGAGAGCACAGCCTGGCTCTCACCCTTGAAGAGTCCAATAACATTGTTGCTCTTTGGAAGAGATTGTCAGAGCACGACAAGGAGCGCACCGTTTTTTCTCCACGCCACCAAACAACCCTGAACAAAGGCCGTTTTAGAGCAACAAAAAAAATTGTTGCACCAGGCGTGGAGTCGACAAAGCGGTATGTTGGTCACAGCTGTTCAGCCACTGATGCATATTCTTCTACAGATCTTGCCTGAGTCCATTTTTCTTGCCTTTGTCCTCCTAGGTGCTATTCTGGAGCACGCATTCCTGGACAGTGGCCAGATTGCAACCGGATTGTTGAGGCCATTTTTGTCCAGCTCTGCATGGCTTACCCAAACCCAAAGAGAATGGAAGGTGTGGCATTTTCAAGGTGGACCCTCATAATTCGTGCTTACAAGCACATTAGAGAGTGCATCCTGAACAACATCACCATCATGGAGGAGACGACCATACAGTTGCCAGAAGTCAACAAAACAACCCTCACACAGTGGTGAGTTAAGACTGTGTCATGATGGATAATGATGGACTCAAATTAGCTGACCCAGAGACAAACAGAATAACTTAAAGAAGTTTTATTCACAAGCGAGATACACAAATAGTACTCCCCAGGAGGATCAGTGGGGTAATGATAATTCACTTGGAGTGCTCACTCCGCTGGAGGTACGGTCTGCTCAGGGGGGTGTGAGAGAGAAGGGTGAAGATTAGATGGATCCACAAATTATTTGTAATCTTTAAAGGGGTCAAGGGATGGCTTACAGTGTCCTTGTGTAACCCGGCAGTGGTGGCAGGAATCACCATCGGATTGGAAGAGGGGTTTCCAGCTGAGATGGGTAGGTAATGCAGTCTTATGCTGCATCAGCGTTCCTCTGGAAGCATGAGTGAACAGAAAGTTAGTTGACTGCAGAGTACTTACCTGAGGGTTTTCTGATTTTACCGTAATGACTAACCAACTGGCCTCTCAGATAAGTAGATGAGACTCAGCTACAGAGACTGGGACTGGTGTCAGGGACTCCTCTGCTGGAGAGAAGATGAAGAAGATGAGAATCAGTAGAGAGAGAAGCAAGCCAACAACTTCATGACTGCTGGGATATGACAAACTATTAACTTCAGTGATAAAATCTGAGTGACTTTAAAAACAGGACAGAATATTAGTTGGTTTGTATTTCACAAACATCACAGAATCTGTAATATCGATAAGAACATTATTCCTTGAAATTAAAATCAGCTATTCTATTTATTTCATATGCAGGTATTGCAGACGCACCCGGACACAGGAGAAAGACATTCTTGAACAGGGCATTCTGGCACCAAAGCCAGCCATTTCCGGTGATACCAGTCAGCACTCAGCTCCACAGCACAAAGCCATTCAACCTGCTCCATCACACAAACCTTACACCTTCGTCCTTCATCCCGACACGGCTGGAACGGCAAAACTGAAAATCAAAAAGTCAGATAGAGCACAGTGCCCACCTCAGCCTCAGCCACAGAACACAGGACAGTTGTCTGTGGAAATTTTTCCACCAGCAACCTCATCTGGTCCCACCTATTCTGTCCCTTCTTTTATTCCGATCCAGCCACTTCCTCAACCCATCCTGCCACAGTTTATCTGTGCTCCGACTCCCTCTGTGCCAGTGTACCCTGTTGTGGCTGGGCCATCAGCACCTAAAAGCCAGACACCACATGTACCCTACACCACACAGCAGTACAGGAAGAGGAAGGAAAAAGAGGAGCAGGCTGGACTACAGACACGAAAATATGTAAAAAAAACAGACACAATAGTTTGCAAGAAGTGCCAAAAAGAAAGAAAGCCATCCTGCCATAAACAGTATTTTGGGAACTGGTACTGTGAAGAGACTGCAAACCAGTCTTTTGAAGACTGGAGAGCTGAAATGGCTGCACGTGGCTATGGTAAAAAAAAATCTTAAATGTAAATAGCTTCATTTTTTCTGTTTTTGATGTTTGTGTGTTTACTGTTTGTTTTTTAGCCTGTTTGTAGAATAAACAAGTGTGAGTTTTTGTATTTTCTTGTTTTTCTTTAATTAGACTAATCAAAATATGTCCTGTTGGTGTCAAATAGTAAAGGTTCTGGTGAACACAGTACCAGTAAGTTCATATCCTGACAGGGGCAGAAAAAAGGTTTATCTTTGAATTTTATTAAGAAAACTACAGATTGCAGCTCAGAAAGGTTTCTCCTCTCTCTGCTGTGATTTCATTTGCAGATGTAGGAGGACATTGAAACAAAATGAAAGGGCCTGTGTACACTGTTGTGATTTTGAGTTAGAATTAATTGAATTATGGTAGATTGTATTTTATTTTGGTTCAGCCAAGGTGAGTAGATAGATCTGAAAAGGTGGAAATTAATAAACACCTGGAATGAGTATGTTTTCATTGCCATAGAGGGTTTTGAAACTAATTAGAATCAGGGGTTCAGGAAACTTGACATCTTTATTTCAGTGGCATGTAAATAGACTTATATTAAAGCTCATTCATTTATTTTATCAGTTTTTATGCGTTTACTTTTGCTTGAAATTTATTTATAAAAACGCCTACATAGTTCACGGAGCATTGTTAATTAAGGTGTCAAGAATGCTCCGAGCGGGACTCGAACCCGCTGCCTCGCACTCAACAGCACACCAAAAATAACTACTACCAAAATCGATTGTGAGACTTATGCGCGCAAGCCTTGGCGCGGCCGCTGGGAGAGCGGGTGACTATCGCCCCGGAGGATCCAGGTTCGAGTCCGGCCAAGGAAAATGCAGTAGATGTCATGTTAATTTTTCTTAATTTCAGGTATTTTACAGTTGTGACCGTTCAACTGTCATTAAACGTCCGAATGTTTGCTGGGCAGTGTTTTAAAAAGTGCACATAAGCTAGATGGTTTTAACCATATAAAATTACATTTTTTGTGATACTGGAAAAATACATACTGAAATAAAACTACTGGTTGAAAACTTTATGACTGTGATTGTACAATATATGACTCACTAATACACTGCAAACTCCCTTAGAGTGGGGCTTCCAGAGAGAGAGAGAGAGAGAGAGAGAGAGAGAGAGAGAGAGAGAGAGAGAGAGAGAGAGAGAGAGAGAGAGAGAGAGAGAGAGAGAGAGAGAGAAAGAGAAAAGTTCTTGCCTCATTAATGTATTGTTTATTTTTTTCAGTATTTAATTGACAAATTATCCTTTCAAATAATTAATTGATGAGTTACATAATTGTCCATTTAGAATTGTTGAATGGACTGAGTAAAGTTTGGTGCACTTTATATATTTCAAAACATGTTTTTTTTATTTTAATGATGCATATAAATAATTTAAATGTTAATTTAATGAAATATTTCTATTTTTTCATTACCTCACCCTTGTTTTGACAAAAACGGAACCTTGCTGGATAATATCATGGAGAAACTATTTGTTCACAGTACATGGCTCAGTGAGGATCTGTGTACCGAAGGAGGAGATACTCAGAAATCTGTCTGCAGATTGTTACAACCCAGACTGGAAGTGGTGGGCTGTAATAAGAAAGGAGACCAAACAGAGGAGTGGGGGTTCAACAACTGATTTATTTAACAAAAGTAAGGATTTACTAAAGCAAGTTAGTGAACAGAAAATGGCCAGTGAGGACTCTCCACCACACAGGAGAGACCCAGTGAAAGCAGAAAAACAGTAGGCTTTGTAGGCAGCACCACACCCTGAGCCCAGGTGCCTCCAAGGCTGCTTAACGAGCTGCCTACAACAGAAGAAAAACACAATTAAACACAAATGAAAACCCAATGAGACGGTGGGGGCATCACAACACGTTCAGGACTACCCAAACACCAGTAATTCTTGACTGCACTGATCTGCTTTAGTAAATCCTTACTTTGGTTAAATAAATCAGTTGTTGAACCCCCACTCCTCTGTTTGGTCTCCTTTCTTATTACAGCCCACCAATTCCAGTCTGGGTTGTAACAATCTGCAGACAGATTTCTGAGCATCTCCTCCTTTACACAGATCCTCACTGAGCCAAGTACTGTGAACAAATAGTTTCTCCATGATATTATCCAGCAAGGTCTTGTTTTTGTCAAAACAAGGGTGAGGTAATGAAGAAATAGAAATATTTCAATAAATTAACATTAAAATTATTTATATGCATAATAAAAAAAACATGTTTTGAAATATATAAAGTGCACCAAACTTGACTCAGTCCATTCAACAATTCTAAATGGACAATTATGTAACTCATCAATTAATTATTTGAAAGGATAATTTGTCAATTAAATGCTGAAAAAAATAAACAATACATTAATGAGGCAAGAACTTTTTAAACTTGAACATACCTACACCCACAAGTCTATTTTTACCTGGTTAAAACCATCTAGCTTATGTGCACTTTTTAAAACACTGCCCAGCAAACATTCGGACATTTAATGACAGTTGAACGGTCACAACTGTAAAATAATATCACAGGAATTAGGAAAGAATAATATGACATCAACTCTATGTTACTTGGCCAGATTCGAACCTGGATCCTCCAGAGTGAGAGTTGCCCGCTCTCCCAGCTGAGCTATGTCAGCAACTGCTGAATATCAGATTTTTTTATATAGATAGCTAGAAAGTAAAGTGCGGGGTAAACTAACCAATCAGAGGATAGGGAAGATCTGCCACAGGCCACGCCTCCAGAGTGCCAAAACTCCTCACAGCCGAGCGAGCGGAATTAGAAACCGAGCGCGCAGAGGCTGCCGAGCGCGCAGAGAGGCTGCCGCGCGCGCACGTTTTCCTCTGCCGTGTGCTCGTTGGCAACGCGCGCACACAGGTTTGTCACTTGTGCACATCCTTGTGCGCTCACAGACACAGTTTGCTCCCTCTCAGTGCACAAATGACCTCTCGCCATGTATATTTTCGCTCGCGAGTCCCGTTCACACGCGCGCGAGTCCCGTTCACACCATAGACTGTACATATACGACTGTACATATACGACTGTACATAGACTGTACATATACACGCGCGCTGCCATGTATATTTGCGCTCGCGAGTCCCGTTCACACGCGCGCTGTGGACCCAATGCGCGTGCACGGGTTGTGGCACGCTTTAAACGCCATATATCGCCATGTTTATTTTCGCTCGCGAGTCCCGTTCACGCGCGCGCTGCCATGTATATTTTCGCTCGCGAGTCCCGTTCACACGCGCGCTGTGAACCCAATCCGCGTGCACGGGTTGTGGCAATATGGCAAGCCAAAACCGTCACAATACGCCACTTTCCCAACCCGTCTAGTTAAGAAATGGCGAAAAAAACGCCGTTTGATGTGCCAAGACGTCGTAAAATACGGCGAAAACTCTGCCAGAACGCCGTAATTTACGCCGTTCTGAACGGTCCCGTAGAACGCCCGTAAAATACGCCGTTTTTTCCGGACATTGAACGCCGTTTTTTACGTCACCCTAATCCTAGACGCGTTCTCTGTGTGGGTGGCGTAAAATACGGCGTTTGGTACGGACATTGAACGCCGCTTTTTTCGCCGTCCTGTGACATAAAACGCCGCTTTTAACGCCACTTTGTGACAGTTTTAACGCGTTTAAAATTCAACTTTACTCTCATTTATGCAGAGCCCTCCCCATGGGTTTCGCATCCACTTAATTTAAACTCCAGTGACCCAATGAAAGACGAGGAGGTTGAGGCAGCACTAATTCATCCCAGATTCGCCGGGCTGTCGGGCTGTGATTGCTGTTTTCTAATACAACTCGGCTCTGTTTCAACTAATTTCACTGTATTGAAAAAGCCTTGAAATGTAGTAATATTATCAACAATGTGTCAACATTATTATTTTTTCTGTCCACCTGTAAAAGGCAGAAACGCTGTTTCAGTCAGACCTGATGATTACTTAAAAGTGTGGCTGCCGTATCAGTCTGTCCTCGTGGCTCGTGAGTCCAGCTGAAACATCAGTGCTCTTTCTGTCCAAAACTCCATTCTTCTTAAGTTCATCCACTTTCAGTATTTACTATTGTGACAGTGTGTGTGTGTGTGTGTGTGTGTGTGTGTGTGTGTGTGTGTGTGTGTGTGTGTGTGTGTGTGTGTGTGTGTGTGTGCTGTCGCAACATCCCGATTGATGATGTGCCCTGGCTACTTAGCCAAGGAAATGTTCCTTTGGCTGACTGGTTAGAGCGTATGACTCTCACCCGGTAGTCTGGGGATCGAATCCCGTCCGAGTCCTCGTTTATCCACCTGGCCACACTATTGTTTTTTTTTTTTTTTTTTTTTTTTTAACGACTGTTATACTTGTCTTACAGGAGCTTCTGAAGATGTTCTGTCTTGCTTCTCCATCATCACTCTCCAGCTCCTCAGACCAGCCACTCCAGAACCTTCCCAGATCCAGGATCAGAGCACTTTAATTAAAGTTTGAAACATGACTGCTTGTTGTTCTCCTATAGAAGCCTTAAACTAGAATTTGCTAATGAGCTTTCTTGGCTAAAATATGCTCTTAAATGTTTTTATTTACATAATCAAGAAACACGTTTTTCATTGCTGCTTCACCAAGACATGACTGAAAATGTCCTCATGATCCTGAAACGCTGGTTAAAACAAATTACTTTTAACCTCTTATAAAACAAACGTGTCTGTTGATGATTATGCCCACTACAATACTGAAGCACCTGCATACTTGCTACCGATTTGCTAACTTTCTGTAATATTTGATATTTAAGTTGAAAACATGAACTGCTGTAACACAAATTTCAAATGTTCTAGTTGAGCACTTGTTTCTAATCAACTAATCATTATTTCTGTGATTAGTCAGCTTTTTCCTTTTCAATAAACACATGGAAAAATTACAATTATCTTACTGAAAAATGGTTTAACAGTGTTGCACATGTATAATAATCTGCACTGGTTTTCACAGTTACGGCATTCTTCAAACTATAATAATAAAATAAAGTGAAAAGATATTTACAATTGATTACTTCAAGTTCCTACTATTTACATTTTATGCATCAATACTGTAAATGGCTGTTTACTAAGGCATACAAAGTCAGTGCCTGTACTTTTATTGGATTGGCTTAGTGTCTGGCTGCAGAAGCAGAACAGATCGACTGAAGCAACTGTCTCTTTAGGTTTTGAGCACTACAATTTATGAAAAATATTTACAAATTTATAATTAGATATAGATTTAGGAAGACATCGAATGAATGCAACATATCAGCTGGAGTTGTTCCGTAAGAATCTCTGGATGTTAAAAAGGTTTCTCGTGTTTGCACCTTATGACACAAAGCAGCTCAGACTGTCAGGTCTTTGAAGTGATGCTTTTGGGCCTGGTCCCTGGTGGTTTCCAGACATTATTTAGTTTACAGATCTTTAGCTGCACATGGAATGTTCTCATACGGGTTCTTGCCTAGTAAGCAGGGGGTTGCCTCCTGTAAAAATGGAGATGATCAGCCTCATTGTTGTCTTTCAGCACACTCCGTAAAGTCCTACATTTAAAAAATGTGGTTTGTGGGAGAGGCTCATCTACTTTCTAAGGCTAACACTTTTAAACTCCTCTTAAGCACACACTCAACTTGTTAATAACTAAAAGGATTGTTCAATACCTGCTCAATTAAACAAGGCAATTCTACAGACTCGTGGATTTGTAAGTAGCATTAATGAAGAATACAGGATCATATAGAACAGAAATATGTAGATTTACAAGCAAACTACCTGTACAGGCACTGACTCTGTATGCCTTA